GGACCCCTCTGCGAGTGTAATATCCTCTTTTGATTCTCTAGAAGCGTCCGAGTCTTTAGAAGGTTCCTGTAACAAGATTGGTCAAGATACAATGAATTGGGTAAATCAGATTAAAACAAAACAATTAATAATTTGAATCAAAATGTAAATGTGTGGTAAACATAAAGAAGATATCAATAATGAATTTTCAATTTAAAAATAAATCCCTGACGCAAACAAGTGCACCAAACACTCATAGGCACAGACACATAAATATATGATTCCCGTTTTACCTTGACCTTTTTACAAAACGATCAACAATTTCAGAAGATGCTTCAATCTCCACTTATCAAAGACAATTCTGTTGAACAAACAGATAGGTTCCCTTATCACATAGGAAATATGATCTGTATATGTACGTGACAATATAGAATGTCACCTTCAAAACAATGTGACATTTGAATCCCCCTAGAGAACAGATATACTGACTCCTTTCCTAGAAACAAAGACTTACTGAACTCTCCTAGAAATACAGAAGCTTCAAACGGAATACTGGAATATTGAACAGACTTAACAACCCCTCTCCTACAAACACAAAAATATTGGATGGATTGCTGGGAATCTAGGATCTTCACCTACAGAACAGATCCCCTCTCCTACAAACACAGAAATATTGGATGGATTGCTTGGATCTCAGATTTTCACCTGCTGAACCTACTTACCATTGCCTCTCCTAGACCTAGAAACACAGAACTTTTGAAGGGAGCGATGGGATCTTGAGAACAGACTTACCAACGCCTCTCCTAGAAACACAGAACTTTTGGAGGGAGCGCTGGGATCTTGAGAACAGACTTATAACGCCTCTCCTAGAAACAGAGGCCTTAGAGGGAGTGCTGGGATCTTTGATCTTCACCTACAGAACAGACTTACCGACGCCTCTCCTAGAAATACAGAGGCCTTAGAGGGAGTGCTGGGATCTTTGATCTTTACTGTCTTCCATTTCTCCGCCCCCTTCAGCTCCTCTGGAATGTCGTCCTTCTCCTGACTCTCCTCCTCTGTAGGTGGCGCTTCTGTATCTTTAGAAGATTTCCAGATCAACTCGGAAGGTTCTTCGCTGGATCGTCGTCTCTGAACCTCTGTCAGGGAATAGATGTACATAGGAATGTACTAGTAATGAAAAGATGCATCAGACAATAGAGGTACGTACTTCATGTGATTTAAAAAGGTTATTTTCAACAATTTTTGTATCAATATTTGATATTTAATGAATATTTGTAACAATTTCAAATAACTTGAGGTATTTACAACATGTTCATGTGATCTTTTTGATCAATGTTATTATACTAGTATTTCTGTTGTAGTTTTTATGACGATACATGCCTTCTGATTTGTGTATCTTTAAACTTTTCATATCATAGGCATTGCAATATCATGTTATATGTTTTACAGAATATAAAATATATGATTTAAAAATAAAATATCAGTATCATATTGCATACAAAGAAATTTGATTTTAAAAAATGAATAATTATAAGGCAAAGATATACATGTAAGTAAGCAGTTTTGTAAAGTAAAACAAAATACTAAAGTGAAAGCAGGTATCCGTTTTCATGGACATTATAAGCAGTGCATATTTCTTCAATTTTATCTTGTTTATTTGAGTTGTTCTATTTCACTTGTGATTAAAAAAGAAATGAAAATTTAATGAATAAAAGAAGGTTTGCTTGAGGAGGGATTCCAACTTAACTTAGGGTAATCAAATGAAATAAGTGAAAGAAATAAATTCTATCAAAATAGTTCACTTCCTTCAAGCCTGCAGATTAGAGATATTTAAATCAAAAAAATGTTTTTAGAATCAGGGCTAACTTTACATTTAGAACTATCTTTAATGGTAGTAAAAAAGAGAAATATCAACGATGTATTGAACAGAACACAACGGATGGTTATTTTCCACGGAGGATAATGGTATACAGTTTTTATGTCTGGTACATCTACACAAGGATTTCAAGAAAATTGAACGAAAAAATATTCTTCTTTAAGGAGCATATCAATTCCTCATCTTCGATCTTTTGACCTCTTTATAAAGAATTACATTTACTTAATACATGATGCAAGTTTTAGTCTACAAAGCAAATGGTTCATCAGATTTTAAGTTGCATAATATAATAGGCATATTCCTTTCTCACAGATGAGAACTGTTTTGTAGTGACATGCTATTGACAAACAAGTTGATGAAACAAAAATATCATGTATCTCCTTAACGTCATAATTTCTCAATTTCTTGGTCGAAGCAATAAATTTTTCATCAATTGAATAGTCGAATGCAGACTGACGATTTTCAAACTTATTTTTAGGCTATTATATTTACATTGAAATGACAAATAACGCACAGGTTTTTACAGGGAAATTTTCGCCCCCGTTTATTTTCGGATCATGACAAATAACAACTCGAATAATACAGTATATTTTCTTGTGTGACTGGCCATTAAAACGGGGCAAAAGATGCAAGTGTGAAAGGGCGAAAATAACCTCAAAAATAACCCTGTATACAGTAGTCATCAGATGCTTACTCCTCAATAGCACCAGATCTCACCTCCCATGCCCGTATTTTCTCAACCCCCAATGTATATTGCTTCAAGAGACATCTGAGCTTGACTACTGTTTGGTATCTTCATATTTCATTGAAAATGAATAGATCCTTGCAATTGTTTATTATATCTACCTAATTTGAACCTTACGTAAATTAACTAAATATTCCAATTACATATCGCCTTTCTTTTGGGATTTCAGACAGAAAACTAAGTCTACTCTCTCTTTCTTAATTGTTCTTCTAATTAAATACTAGTAATTCTTCATACAAACTGGACAAATAATTACCCAAACAAGAACTAAGTTCGATTTTATCCTACGATGCTAAAATAGTACACGGCGAGGTTAGAGGCAGAAGCTGAAATAATTCTTTAAAAGCAAAAGCAAAGCTGACCAAGTCAGTGGTTGTCAATAATAAATGCCTCTTCTGGGTTAAACTACAGCGAGATTCACAAAATCAGGTGATCAAACTGAGCGGATCTAGAGGTGAGTATTCATGATAATATATTTATTTTTTTGATCGGGCATTGACCCCAGTCACACTCCCTTGGATCCGCACACTGATCAAATATTGAGAAAATAAAGCTTGAGATGATCACATGACATGTATATTTCTCACCAGAATTACATCTGTCTTCTGTAGGCATAAAAAAAGAACAAAAATGAAAATTCCCTTTCCAGAACATTTTAAATCTATTTAACACAGTTCAGATGTTAAACTCAACATCATTTTATTTTTTATAATTCAATATTATATTTATCTACTGCATTTGTTCACAAAACTGATAAAATTTTGACATTATAAAACACTGCAGATTTTTTTTTCAGTTTCATTTGAACAAATATACATGTGTTTAAAAATTAACTGTAGTGATTAGACCACATGCTCACCAAAATTGATCCGTGTGAAACAAAATAGGGTCCCTCTTCAACAGACAAGAAGGAAAAGTGCGCTTTGTTCGAAGAACTTTACAAAATTCACATAAGATACATTATTTATTTTCTTCCTTTGTTTTTTTTTCCTTCAATATACAGCTCAACACACTTTCTAAGCTCCCATGGTTTTTCGCACAAATTAAGGTCACATTATTGTAATAAAAATTACCATTTTCTAACTGCAGTACAATGGCATTTAACCCTTCGTTATATTACATATATAATGTCAAGCATAAATGTCTTTTAAAATTATTATCCAAAATGGATGTTTAAAAGGAAAAAAATATAAATAAATGGTAGAATGTTTCGACTATACAATTCTACCATTGGTTTTTACACATTGTATAAAACGAGCCTTCCTTGATCCCATGTAGTTAAAATTTTCTTCTTAAAAGTGAGTATTTTTTAAAAAAATCTTTGCTCATTTAAAATACTCCTCTTGGTTTCGTCGAAATGTAGCACTGAAAAAAGATAATATTGCAAAAGGAAACCACACTAAAGGGTAGGATAATGAAGTATTGTTTATTTTTTTGAATACTAGTAGTAAATTCCTTCATAAAAAGGAAAATTCTTCTGCATTTACGGTTTGAAACACTAAAATCTTGCAGTGGGATGAATCTTTCATGATTCTAGATTTTAGAAGTTGTCTCTTAAATATCCTACCTTATTAACATAGAGAGCAGCCAAACCTATGAAAAATACTTATACCATCCCGAGTTAGAGAGTCAAAATGTACAGAAAATACAAATTACAGTAGCTGTACTGTACCCATGTCTATGTTTCTGACAAGAGCTATTGCTTTGAAAAGAACGGGCTTACAGGTAAAAAGACAGTTACAATTGGCAAGAAACCACAAAAACTCAATTGAAAATAGTTGTTATTTTTCAGCCATGAATATATCAAAGTTCTACCAATCGATTTGTGTAAATTATGTTTCAGTAAATGAAATAAAACTCAAATTTTGTAAACAAACACTTTAAAATGTATTTTGTTTTCTCGATACACAATATCATATTATAACCATGTGATCTTAATTTGTGCAAAAAACCATGTGAGCTTAAAAAGTGCATTGAGCTGTAATTGTACTATCTACCCTCTCTGTGAGAGTCGAGTCTGTAATTTCTCCAGTGCTGTGTTGAATTTCTTTTAGCAATACATGCAAGGTTTGGTTTACGGTTTTTATCACTTTTATTAATCATTTCGGATTGATGATCACATTGGTATTTAAAAATAGATATATATACCGGTATATATTGTCTTCCAATTCATGTAACTGAGGCAACAATATTACCAGGTACTACATTAGTTTGATCCAGAAGTCGAAATAAAGACCAATTGAAAACTATATTACAATTGCTACAGTGAATCAAAATTTATTGAATAATACATACAGACTGTATCATTCATACATATTGTTAATTCACGCAAAGAACACAAAATCTAATGCAATTGTGAAAGCTTAAAGACAAAAATCTTACACATCCCTTTACATTTAAGTCCCTTATATCACACCTGTCTTTGTGTATCCTGAGTACTAGTATTATCATTTGCCTTCAAGTCCCCTGTTTAAAACCCGTCTATATCTAATCAAGTATCTGAATACTAGTTTTAACACCCAAAAGGGCATAAGATTCAATTTGGTTTGGAAAACTTTGAACGTTTTATGTTTAAATTCGATACTTTCTTTACAATATTGTGCCAGTATCGTGTGTGCAGAGTTCCACCGCTCTGTTTGCTTTTCTCTATGGCCTTTAAACAATGTTTCTTAGAGGGACACGTTCCTGCTGACAGGAACTCGCCAAAATATTTCCTGATCTCTTCCTCGTCTTCTTCTGACCAACGTTTTCGCTCATGAATATTTTTCGAGGCTTCAGATTTACCACTAGTGGATGTCTTGCTTGACGATGATTTGTTTGACTTTTTATTAGGCACTTTGCTGGACACTGATTTTGTTCTAACAGTTTTATCAGAATCGAAATTTCCAATGTGTTTCTCTTCAGATTTTCGCTTTTTATTGTTTTCGAAGGAGATTTTCTTGATAATGTTGTGATAGTATCTGTTTTGGAGCACCCCTCCCTTCTCTCGGCTCCATTCTATGGCTTCCAAGCACCGCTTCTTTGAAGGACACGTCTTGGTGGCCAGGAAGTCTCCCAGGTATAGTTGTAGTTCGTCTAATTCCTCTTTAGACCAGATCTTATGCTCAACAATGTGGGAAAACCTCTCAGAGTCCTCTTTTTCCTGGTTACTGGCTGACTTCAGAGGCAAAGTAACGCTTGATGTGGCATCTTTTTGTCTATTTTCCAATGTTTCCGCAGCTTTTTTGTCACATTCTTCAATGCTTGTTTCTGGCTCAGCCGGTTTTTTGTCATGTTCTTCAATGCTTGTTTCTGTCTCAGACGGTTTTTTGTCATGTTCTTCAACGCTTGTTTCTGTTTTAGGTAATTTCGTTTCCTCCGGATTTTTATTTTCAGTGGACACACCTACCAATTTTCTGTTTTTGTTGTTTACAGCCGATATCTTCTTGATGATATTTTGCCAGTACCTTTTGTGTATCACTCCCCCGCGCTCAGCACTCTTTGCTATGACCTTCATACATTCCCTTTTAGATGGACAAGTTTTGGATGCGAGGTAGCTGCCAAAGTAAAAGTTTAGTTCACGCTCCTCCTCTTCTGTCCAGCGTTTCCGTTTAAACATAGCAGACAAATCGCTAATTCTTTTTCCAGACTTGTGCTTCAGTCCACTTTTCGATTTTTTACGTGCTAACACTTTATGGGATGTCTGAATAGACTTGCTCATGGCTTTTTCCCATGATGTTTTCATGTTCTTGGCTCTGGACTTTGCCTTGTTGGCTTTCCTCTTCAACTGAAAGTTTCCAGTACTCGTAGATTTACAGTTTCTCCTATTTTCATGTGAGATTTTCGTTATGATGCACTGCCAGTTTATCCTATGTAATACACCGCCCATCACTCTACTCCTCTGAAGAATATCTAGACACTGAAGTCTCGTAGGACAAGTCCTCTTCACAAGGAAGTCACCGAAATACAACTTTAATTCCTCTTTCTCTTCTATTGACCATTTCTGTTTGTCCAATCTCCTGGCCTCTTTCTGTGTCCCTTTATTGTGAGAATAGATAAGATTTACTTGCGCAGACACATTATCAGAATTGTGCTGCGCTTGTGTAGGTTCTGCAGCTACTGGCTCTCTATAGCTAGCCACTGGCGTGTGGTGATATACATTCATCATCCCTGCACGGCCACGGTCTATTTCTTTAGGTTTCTTATGAACATTTCTAAAATGTGTTTCAAAATACCTCTTATGCATCCACTTCAAACAATTAAAGCACGGCTGGTAATCTTTAGATATGAATCTTTCTCGTGTCTGCAAGAGAATTAACTCCCCTTTGCCCTCCTTCACTACTTTCATGTTGTGTAAATGATCTCCCTTTGCCTGTATCTGGTCAAACCTTCCCTTTTGGTCACTCATCAGTGCTTCCTGCACAGCTGGGTCTGACCTGTGACACCTCGCGAGGTGGTCAGGCAAATGGTGTGTCATTTTCTGGCATAAAAAGCAACAATGCCTCTGATTATCCTCACAATCTTGTTTCTTTGTGGGTTGATCACTAATGTCTGTATTCTTCAAAACTTTTTTGATGTATATCTTTGGATTGTCCTCTGCCCTAACAATGGTATCTTCTGTCCTGGGATCGTTAAGGTAAATCTTTGTATTCTCTGCCACCCTGACAATGACCTCTTCTAAAGAAGAATCAACTTCACTCATTGCCTCTTCATCTCCTCTATCACCACCATCGTCAAAATCATCTTTACTCATCTTTTCCCTCTCCTCCACAGACACACCCATATCGTCAACTTCAGTTTTTACTTCCACGACTAGTTCATGGCTTTGAATTGGAATGCTACTGCCATATAAATTATCCAGTTTCTTCCTACTCTTTGAAAGAACCTCATCTTCTTCTTCCTTGCTATTATCATCATCTCTGACATCATCATTAACATCTTCTTCCGGACCTGCACTGCTTTGCTGTGTCGTGCTTAGATGGGACAAATTCAAATCCGTAGTTGCAGTTGATAATTCTGAGAAATTTCTCTCATTAAGTTGTTTTTCAGAAGACTCCTTCTCAGCTACAGCTTTTTGTTCTGTATTAGAACCTTGATCCATAGCAACATCTGGTATTCTTCTTGATGAATTATCACCATTATCAACATGTGTCTCTTCTCTGTGGTAAGTTTTGGTTGAGGTAACTGAAAAAATAACCAAAATTGAAAGACAAAGTGATTATTAGAAGTTAAAGAGTACTGTATACGCAGTTTAATTTTGGCATTATTATCGAGGGTGCTTAGATAGCTAAAATTGAATTTAGAATTAGATAAGGAATATTTGCACTTCAATTGCACATGTAGAACAGTACTGTAAACACCTTTTATTCATGAGAAATTTATTTTCGTATAATTAAGCGAAACAGTGTGCTGGCAAAAATTTCACTCTCATGTATATTGATATTCCTAAAGATTATAAAAATCAAAAACAACAATTTAAGAAAATTTTTTCTCGCTGATAAGGATTAAATGATAATGATTAAATGGTACTACTCTGTTGTAGGGGAAATTAATAACATTTGGCAAAGTTTTTGTTGATAGATACTGAAATGAAATATCAAAACATGTGCCTTTTACATGTATTATGTTTACGTAAAATTTTACAAAGATACATCACATTGCCCCACAAAGCATAGTTCCCCAATTACAATACATCTTGTTTCTTTTAGGCTATGCAAAGTTAATTCCTGGGTTCTCAGGCCTTTTTTCAAGAAATATGATGAGGGAGAAAGGCATTTTTTTTTCTTTTTTATTGCCCCCAAAACATTATGAGGCAGCTTTTTACATTGTACAAAACCCCAAAAAATGATGAGGGAGGTGATTTATTTTTTTTTATTTTATTGATTTAGCAATAAAAAGGGTCAATGAGGCACCCTTGGAAGAAATGAGGAAGGGCCTGAGAACCAAGAAATTATTTTTTTTGGCCTTATCTAAAGCTTACATTCTTAACCTACCTGTATTACCTGACTTGTCCTGTAAGATACACTCTGATGATGTAGAGACCGAAACAGCATGTTGCTTCTTGCCATCCAAAGTGGTATTGCTCTCCAACTGACTGATCTTTTCGCAATGCTTATGAAACCTCCTGTAGTGTCTATTAATCGATCTCCAATGCATCCATTCAAGGCACTCAGGGCAAGGTTTGAAATCTTCGGAAATAAAACTCCCCGTTCTACGAGAGAGAATGAGCTCCCCTTTGCCTTCCTTCATTACTTTCATGTTGTGTAAATGATCCCCCTTTGCCCGTATGTGCTTGAATCTATCAAATCGGTTAACACTGAGTGCTTCCTGTACAGTAGGGTCTGATCCGTGACGCCTCACCAAGTGATCACGTATATGAAGAGTCATTTTCTGGCAGAAAAAGCAACAGTGCTTCTGATGATACGCACGCTCAAGTTTCTCTGTGGGTTGACCGCTATTACTAATGTCTACACTCTTCAAAGCCTTTTTAATGTAAATCTTCGGATTATCTTCTGCAATAACAATGGAATTTTCTGTTTTTAAAACTCTTCTAATGAAAGGCTTTGTATTGTCTGTCACCCTGACAATGGCCTCCTCTGAAGAAAAATCATCTTCACTCATTGCCTCTTCATCTCTTCTAACCCCAACGTCATCAGATTCATCCATATTGTCAATTTCATTTTTTTCTTCTTCAACTAATTGATGGCTTCGATGTGGAAAGCTACTTCCATATAAATTGTCTAGTTCCTTCCTAGCATTCCCCAGTGAAGGAACAATATCCTCTTCTTCCTCCTCATCATCACTGACATCATCACTTAGATCTTGTTCCAGAGCTTCACTGCCTGGGTTTGCAACACTTACATCAGAAACTGATAACTTTCCCTCACCCGGCTGACGTACAGGTGATTCTTTTTCTGCTACAACTGGATGCTCTGTTTGATAATTCTGCTCAACATCTGGAATTCCACTACAAAAATTTCCTGTGTTATGCTCATTTTGCTCTTGTCTATCAAAACTCTTGGTTAAAGCTGAAGCCAACTTGTCAGGAAAAGTGGTTCCAACATCAGATTTTGAGGACTGAAGTAACAACGGGTTTTCTTCCTTTGGTAGCTTCTCATTCTCATTTTCATGAAATAATTTTCTATGTGATGGTTCTTCAGCTGAGCTACCTTAAAATAAATAAAAATAAAAGATCTAGTTATTCATAACCTCCCAGAATTCTCAATCCTAAATTTTAAATTTTCCCATTAATTCACTAAAGCTTGGAGCATTTTGTTTAAGTACAGTCAAACTTGTCTTAGCGGCCACCCGAAATCAACGGCCACTTGCAGTCAGCGGCCACTTTTTGTTCCCCCCGATGATTTTTACTACATATTTTAACTGGAATAAACGGCCACCTGTGTAACGCGGCCAGCGGCCACTCAAATCCTCCCCCAATAGCCTTGTTGACACTGTAATAGGCGGCCATTTCGTCACTTGTTGCGATTCTATCAGTTTTAAACGTGATGGCTTGGGCAATTATATCCTCGATAGTCAATTTAACCTATTAATGCAATTAAAGAAATTGTTTTTAGATACGCTGAACTCGGTTTTTGTTCATGAAAAAGATAAATATTTGTCCTGTTAGATCAATTTGTAATCATTTTTCAAGATCGCTGATTGAAAAATTAAAAGAATTTTATTACTGTACAATTGATACTTTTCTCGAGCTCTAGCTAAAGAAATTCACACCTTTAGATTTAGATTCCACGTAGAAGCCCTAATTGCTACTCTTGTAAAAACAAAGTGCTTCATATGGCATGATTATCTCGTGAATTTCACTATCAAGAGACGATCGATAGGGATTAGTCACGCTCTACTGCATTTGACACCTGTGTTATGGAATGATTTTCAACTGCGTAAGTACATATCTCTGGTCAACTGGTTAATTTGATTTTTGTGTATGTTATATAGAAATTCTGACAGCTTTATAAAAAATAAAATTAATCAGACTTTATAAACTTCAATAAGTAAGTTAATTACCGATTGATTAAGTTGGGGGGTACACTGCTGACTATCTCTTTAACACATGTAAGTGAATTTTATTTACATATTTTTACTTAAATTCCTATGATTTATTTTATTAACCATTAAGCTGTATTTTTGTGTATTTTTTTCTTTATAAAAAGGATAATAGTCAGGCACTATATGTATTAATTTAAAGATTTTTTTAATAATTCAATGGAACAAAAGCACACTTATGAATGCATGATGTTTAACTAATATGTAGGAACAGAAACATGCACAAAACCTTAAACATTTCGAATTCTTTAGTATTCTTTTTAAATGAGCTTTAATTATTATATATACACATAAAAAGCTTTTGTGAAATTGAACTGTTTAATTATGATTAATTAATTAAACTGTAGTGCTTAATGTGGTTTATTTATTGACAAATGTCCTTTTTGAGGGCAAACTGGAATAAGAGGCCACCTGTCTTAAGTGGCCAGTTTCCAGACTTCCCAAAGGTGGCCTCTTAAAACAAGTTTGACTGTATTTATGTGGTAACCTTCAACAAATATTACCTGGCTTATCCTGTGTTCTTGGTTTGGAAAGTGTATAAATTAGAACAGTGCCTTGCGTGTGGTTCACAAAAGTTGATCTGCACCCCCATTTACTGTCACCTAGTGAACAGTTATGAAATTTTCTCTGGTGTTTTTTTAGATTCCTGGTGTGCAGCCAAACAAGACACTTTGGACAAGGACCGAAATCCTTGGAATTAAATCTCCCTTTTCTGCATGAGAGAATTAGTTCCCCTTTCCCTTCCTTCATCACCATTGTGTTGTGTAAGTGATCTCCCCTGGCACGTAATCTGTCATAAATTTTTTTCCTGTTAGTCACATTACAGCTCAGAGCTCCGACTACAGCTGGGTCTGAACTGTGATGGAGTGAAAAATGGGAGGGCAAATGAAAGGACATTTTCTGGCATATAAAACAACAGTGCTTTTTCTTCCTCACACAATTCAGTTTCTCAATGGATTGCTGGCTATTACTTTGATCCATGTTTCTTGCAAGCTTTCTGGTGTATATATTGGGATTGTCCTCTGCTCTGATTATGAATTCCCCATAAGGAAGACCTTTACCACTCATCATCTCCTTTTCATCTCTGTCAGTAATTACCAGCCTGACATCCTCAGTATCCACCTCCTCCACTTCTTCATGGCTTGAAAGTCTTTTCTCTTCTGAAGGAATATCATCTTCTTCCTCATTATCATCATCACTAGTATCATCACCTACATCATCTTCCCAATCTTCATTGCCTGGCCGTGTCATGCTCACACTATCAATGTCAATGTAGACATCTTTTGTAACTTCATGATCAACATCTTTGGAGCCTGGTTGTATGATAACATTATAATCATCATCAGCAACATAATCGGTAACTTCATCATCATTAGGATCTTCACTGCCCGGCTTTATCATGTTTCCACTATTGTCACTATCAACATCTTTATAAACTGCGGCATTTAGAACTTCATTTGCTGGCTGTGTCATGCTAACACTTTCTTTATCATCACAAACATCTTCATTAAGTTCATCATTAATATGTTCCATTCTTGGCTGTATCAGGCTCACACTATCATCCCCATCAACAACAACTTTATTAAGTTCATCTTTTAGATCTTTGCTGCATTGCTGTGTTATGCTAAGTACTCTATCACCATCTTCACCAGCATCTTCATCACCAATATTTTCCCTGCCTGGTTGTCTCCTAACACTATAATCATCATCGACAACATCAAAAACTTTATCATCTGTGACTTTGCTGTCTGGCTGTATCATGCTATCATTGTCATCATTAACATCTCCATTAACTTCAGCATTAAGATCTTCACTGCATAACTGTGACATGCTAACTCTAAAACAATCGTCATCAACATCTTCAGTAACTTCATCAACAACATCTTCAGTGCCTGTCTGCTTCATGCTTACACTCTCTTTGTTATCAACATCACCTTCAAGATCTTCAATGCTTGATTCTGACATGCTAACACTATCATTGTTATGGCTACCAACATCTTTAGTAATTTCCTCAACAACATCTTTACTGCCTGGCGGTATCATGCTTACACTTTCATCATCATCATCAACATCTTCATTCACATTAGCACCAATATCTTCACTGCCTGGGTGTGTCATGTTTACAGTATTATCTTCATTACCAGCACCATCAGTGACTTCATCACCAATATCTTTGCTGCCTGTCTGCTTCATGCTAAAACCCTCATTGTTATCAACATCACCATTACCTTCAACATCCAGATCTTCAATGCTTGATTTTGTCATGCTATTACTTTCATTGTTATGGCTACCAATATCTTCTTTAGCTTCACCATTAAGATCTTCACTGCCTGAATTGGGCATGCAAACTCTAAAACTGTCATCAACACCATGTTCATTCACTGCATCACCAATATCTTTGATGTCTGGATGTTTAATGCTAGCACTATCATAGTCATCATCATCTTCTGTAATTTCATCACCAATATATTTGCTGCCTGTCTCCTTCATGCTAACACTCACATTGTCATCAACATCACCATTAACTTCAACACCAAGATCTTCAATGCTTGATTTTGTCATGCTAATACCATCATTGATATGGCTACCAATATCTTCAGTAACTTCCTCAACAATATCTTCATTGCCTGGATGTGCCATGTTTACACTATAATTGTCAACAAGGACATCTTCTGGAACTTCATCATCAATATCTCTGCTGTCTGTCTGTGTCATGCTACGACTATCATCGTCATCACATTCATCATCATCAACTTCATCATTAAGATCTTCTTTGCTTGGCTGTATCATGCTAACATGGGACAAATCTAACGCCACAGTTTCAGCTGGATGATCTGAGGAATGCAGCTGTTCTGGAGCAAAGTCTTTTTCAGCTTTAAGATCTGTTTGAACATTTTGTTTCAGCTCGTCTGGCATTGTAATAGATGAATTATCAGCATTGTTTTCATCTGTCTCTTCTCTTTGGTAACTCTCAGTTACAGTGAATGTTAACTCACTATGCTGTAAAATATAAAGTATATTTTAATTTTTTTTTAAATTTTAAATTGGACCTTTAGAGAAAGGGCTTTAGATGGAACAAATTGTGTCATAACCTTTCATTTAAATCTGAAAGAGTGCTTTTAATTTGTTTTTTTTCTTTTTTGGGAAAGGAGGTTTTGGATGGTATCAAATCATATACATATCTCATACCTTCATTAATTTCCTTGCAACCTCACTTTCAGATTTCTCATTTACTACAGCCTCCTTTTCAGGATCTTTATCTATTTCAGCCTCACTTTCAGATTCCTCATTTGCAGCAGCCTCCTTTTCAGAATCTTTATCTATTTCAGCCTCACTTTCAGTTTTCTTATTAGTTGTAGCCTCACTATCAAACCTTGTATTTGCTGTAACCTCCTTTTCATAATCTTTATCAATTTCAGCCTCACTCTTCGATTTCTCCTTTGTTGCAGCCTCACTCTCAGATTCCTTATTTGTTGTAGCCTCACTTTCAAATTCTCCGATTGCTTTAGCCTCGTTATCAGATTTCTCCTTTGTAGTAGTTTCAGGTTCCTCATTTGTTATTGCCTCATTTGTAACCTCTTTGTTTGTCTCATTTATTCTCTCACCATTATCCAATAGTTCAGGAACCATTCTTTCAGTGTTATTTTCAAATGTTATTACACTTTTCATCTCGTCTTCATTAGGATCTGAAGTGAGACATAAAAATACCTTTACTTCTCCATTAAAAAGAAATCTTTTTGCTTTTCTTTTTTTCTGGTTGTTAAATTTGATTTTTTTTTTTTAACAAGTGAAATATATAAAATACAAATATTTCCAACATTGATATGCTTTTAAAATGTGGCTTAAAATTGTATTGTACACTTAAACTTATCCTTGATCATCAAATTTCAAATAATACCTTAAGTTTTTCAATACATAGATTTATGTATACTGATTAATGTGGTGATATCTTCTACCTTTTCTTCTCAGTGAATATTTATTTCAATTTTACTCTCGTTAAATTCTGGACTTTTATGAGTAGCACTGACTTTACAGTTGACAGCTTACTTTTACTCTAGAACAAGGTACTGAAGCTGTTTTACGATATACCGTAATTTTCGGATTATAGGTCGATACTTTTTTTCTCAGAACCGCTGAGGTCGACCAATATACGAATTCGACCTTTCTAAGGCTCAAGTTTACGAAAAATGCCCCAAAATCAATAAAATTTACGTCAATTTCAAAGCAAATCTGTGCCACTTTCATAACTTTTTTCATTATTTTACGCAGAAAAATTAATGCCTAGGTAAACAATAAAATATTTATTTTATAGCTTTCTTACAAAATAAATTCCATTACATATCCGTTGATGACAAAGGAAAAAACTGTGCTTCATCAAGTAAATAATTCCTCAACGTGTTGCCATCATGCGGTAGCCATCTTGTGAAGTTAGGAAGTCGCTACCGTTTACTAAAAGTAAAACCGCAACCGGATCAAAATTTAAAATACGGAAAATTTTTCAAGATCACAACTGTAGTGTTTTACCATTTATTAGTAGATTGATAAATTGAAATAGTATTAATTTTTTTTATTGTTACAGTCTTATATTTATTTATGTGTAAAATGAGTGAAATAAATTGTTGCCAATCAATTCCTAAATTTAATTACCAAATAAACCGATAGTCATTACTATATCTATTTTTTTTTATTTTATTTAATTAAAATACCGGTCAAATGAATTAGCGCTATACAAAGATTGGCTTCTAACAGAATTTTAATTGTCTCACAGATAAAAGGATTTACACTGTGTGTACACGCAAAGGTTTTAACACCTGACAAATTAGTGTGTTGGTTTAATACCCTCAGGGCATGATTAGCAGATCCACGTGCCGTTATAGGGTATTAGTGTTACACATCATTGAACAAACAAAGCCATGAAATTGATAATGACTGTCAAATTGTGAATGTACCGATACTCTCAATTAAATATATAATTAAACTTATAGCGTGGTAATATTATTTCAATTCTTTACTGTTGCTTTATATATACATTCAATGGTCGTTTGCGGGTTTTAGCAAATCCCTGAAGAACAAAATTGAAAATGGCGGACATCGAAGCAATTGTCGACCACCGGTAAATAATGTCTGAATAAATATATTAGGAATGTGTCCAAGTTGTTCTGAAAGCAGAATTATTATTCTTTTTTCTCGAATATTTCCCGAATTATACCTGTAAAATAAGAACGTGTTTACGTGTTATTTATGCCTCTGGTTTAACAACAGTATGAAACTACGGAGGCATTGAACAGGAAAGTTGGAGAAAAATAAGTAGTAACACAATTCAACGAAGTTTTAACTACATTTTTTTAAAAACTTTATTAAAATGCTCTACTCATTAAAATACCTGTTTGTTTTCTTGATACGTTCATGTCACGGAATTACCCCGGTAATTATAGAGGTCTACCTGTTCTGATACGTTGTATCTGCGTAAGAATCTTTAGAAAACGGGAAACAAAGCCTCGTCCTATATAGTAAGTTCGTCCTATCTTAGGATTTTTCAGAAATTAAGGCTGAAAATGAGCCTTTCGACCTATATACCCCATCGACCTATGACCCGAAAATTACGGTAAATATTTAGCTCACCATTTAATTCAACCAAAATAACGGGTTATTTCAAAGCATAAATAAGTTGTTCTTAAAGAAAACAACAACCAACCTACCCTCAACTCCTGACCTTCACATGTTAGTGCTCCTAACAACTAGAAAGGTGTTCTTATCTATTATCAATTCTGTACCTCCAGATATGATCCAGGTTTAAATGTCAAGTAAACTGTCAACTGAAAGTCAGTGCTTCTCGTAAAAGTCCATTTCTCTCTCAATTTTCTCTCAAACCAACCAGCCAAAATGACTCAAAATCAACGCAGAAATAGTAAATAAATTCGCCTGTACTTTAAAACATTGATAAAATGTAAATAGTTACTTAACAAGATTTAAAGATGAGCACCATATTGTTAATACTTACTCCTCCCATTCAGGGTAAACAACTTCGTCTTCCCTGCAATTCTTCTGGTTGTAGATGATTCTTAAACAACTTTCTGGATTCATTTTTCTCACATAACAAAACATGAATTCAAAACAAACAGGAATTTTCAGAAGTAAGTGATCATCAAATCTCAACTTACAAAAAAATACAATTATATGAAAATACTTAACAACAACTTACCCCTTTTATTTCACTTTGTCATCAGATAATATATTTTAGCTATACTTACAGATGTATAAAAGATTCACGAATCGTCTGGGTATTACTTCTTGCACATTGCATCACCAAATGAATATAAAAAGTCCCGTAAAAAAATGACCGAAATTTTCCAACATTATTCACTGATATCTGAAATACTACTGATTTCGAGTCCCAACTACTTTTTATGTATTTCAAAATTGATACATGTACATTGTATCTAAAATCCTTGGATATCTCAAAGATTTTTTCTCCATGCCACTGTGTATGAGATATCATGGTTTGATTTGAGTCTTGATATACGAAAAAAATATGTCGCCATTAACCCACCATATTAGTGGAAAAAAATAAACAGACGACTAAACAAAGCATTGATCAAAAAGCTAGAATTAACCTCAAAGTGTTTAGCACTGGATTGTGGGAAATTTCTAAAAAAGATATCACCACATTACCAGTATTCCATAATTCAACACATTTAACATCAATGAAACTTACTTGTGGAAACGTTTTTCTTTTTTACGAGTCCCAGCGCATCTAGAAGTGAGGCCCCAGGTTTGTATCTCGGGTCAACATCCTCTTGAGCTAAAAATAATCCTTGTTTAATAAATATTTGTCGAATAGTTTCATTTATTTCTTTTATTCTCAAGCAAGAAATACATTTATCCTCAAATTTTGATACCTCCTGATGAATTCTAGATATTAATATTCAAAACAAATGCATATCTCATGCACTAAATACCCATAAAACATTTTAAAATAATACAAAGGTTAAAGTTCAGTAAGAATATTAGATGAAGTAAAGTTCAAGTTCTGACCTTCAGTCTCCCTGACGACTGGGGCTGGCTTGGTGCTATAACAGGATCTCTTTGTACAGTACACCAGGTGATTTGCTGTAAACCAATGAAAACTTATCATGACAATTACTGACCAATCAGAAAAAGCCAAGAAACATAACTGCTCTAGAAATTGACCAATGATAACATATTATAGCATTCTCCATTACATTGTGTACAAAGTCTTTTAAATGCTAGTCTAGTACATGTCTATGAAACAGTTGTCAAACATTTTTGTCACTTTCTTATAAATTATTCTCGGTCAATATTGTATTTCGAATACACTGTATAAATTAATTCTTTTAACATAATTGGTTCCTGACCAATCTTGTTGCCATAGCGACTGACAAATCCACAGAGACAGTGCATGGGCTCCTTCATTGGTCGTTCCCAGGGTATGTTCAGATTGAGGCTTGACATTTGACCCGAGTGGAAGCCCATCATGTGATTAGCATATGCGATGCTGCAACTGGTGGCAAATCGACACATGGAACACTCTATGTGTTTTCTGTAATGATAACACCAATATATCTATGACAATAGATAAATATCTACATGTGCATCTAACAACTTACAGGTCAATATATGCCAATATCAGTATCAGACAAAGTCAAAATATATTTTTGTTTGACCTTATTTACCTGAAATGATCCGGTGTCCCCATTACAGTTTTACACTCCACACAGCTGTTGTAGTTCACGGCGTAAGGGAATCGCGTTCCACCGAAGTCCAGGACTTTACTGACGGCGGGGGCATTCAGGGACTTCAGCGCCTGTTTACTGGACAGTCCAGACTCCGGGACCTTGATCATCATGTCCTGTCCATAGACACTGGGTCTGGAATCTAGAATAGAAAGGACAAAACTAGAATATAATGGACAAGTCTAGAATAGAATGTACAAGTCTAGAATAGAATGAACAAGTCTAGAATAGAATATTGTAATCTAGAATAAAGTGTCTATTGTAACCTATGGTCCTTCTTTTTGTGAGTTTTACAGTCTGCTGGGTTGACTATATATAACGTACCTATTCCCTTTTGATTGGCTACGTGGTCCTTCTTTTTGTGGGTTTTACAGTCTGCTGGGTTGACTAGATATAACGTACCTATTCCCTTTTGATTGGCTACGTGGTCCTTCTTTTTGCGAGTTTTACAGTCCGCGGGGTTGACTAGATATAACGTACCTATTCCCTTTTGATTGGTCGCGTGATCCCTCTTTTTGTGGGTTTTACAGTCCGAGGGGTTGACTTTATATAACGTACCTATTCCCTTTTGATTGGCTGCGTGATCCCTCTTTTTGTTTGTTTTACAGTCCGAGGGGTTGACTAGATATAACGTACCTATTCCCTTTTGATTGGCCGTGTGATCCTTCTTTTTGTGAGTTTTACAGTCTGCTGGGTTGACTATATATAACTTACCTATTCCCTTTTGATTGGCCGCGTGATCCTTCTTTTCATGAGTTTTACAGTCTGTGGGGTTGACTATATATAGCGTACCTATTCCCTTTTGATTGGCCGCATGATCCTTCTTTTTGTGAGTTTTACCGTCTGCTGGGTTGACTATGTATAACGTACCTATTCCCTTTTGGTTGGCTACGTGGTCCTTATTTTTGTGTGTTTTACAGTCGGCGGGGTTGACTATATATAACATACCTATTCCCTTTTGATTGGCGGCATGGTCCTTCTTTTTGTGTGTTTTACAGTCGGCGGGGTTGACAAAGGTCAGCCTACAGAAGGTGCACTTCTTGCTGTTGGACTTAGACTGATGCTTAAGGAGATGTCCATAATAAGTCTGGGTCTGGCCCCACCCTTGCGACACGAACTTAACCGCAAACACCTTAAGGCAGTATAGACACAGAATGTGCTGCGAGCTGTCGTGTTTCTGAAATGAAGTTCATTACCATGAGAGTAATTATTTACTGTGAAAGTACTGAGAAACAGTAAATAATTAACTGACAAATGAATCAGTCAGATTAATTAATAACAGTGAGAGTAATGTATCCCGTTGAGAGTAAACCAGAAGTCTCTGTCGAGACTGAAGCTCTACTGGTTTGAACTTATAGCAAAGGAAGAGAAGAGTACTTAAGCAGCTGGGATTTGAAACTTTACAACAGCAATATATAGAATAATGATCGTTGATAAAGTCTCTTTATGTTCTTAGTGTAGTCTACTTGTGTGCCAAGTTATATTGAAATCAGACCAAAACTGTAGGAGGAGTAGCATTTTGAAACAATTTTACAGACATTTCAATTTTTAGTAACCACGGCAACACCGTTCATCAAAATTAAAATTCGATATACAGAATTATGTATCTTAGTGTATTCTACTTATGTGCCAAATTATACTGAAATCAGACCAAAACTGTAGGAGGAGTAGCATTTTGAATCAATTTTATAGATATTTCTATTTCTAGTAACCACGGCAACACCGTTCATCGAAATCAAAAACCGATACATGGAATTATGTATCTTAGTGTATTCTACTTGTGTGCCAAGTTATACTGAAATCAGACCAAAACTGTAGGAGGAGTAGCATTTTGAAACAATTTCACAGAAATTTCTATTTTTAGTAACCACGGCAACACCGTTCATCGAAATCAAAAACCGATATACAGAATTATGTATCTTAGTGTATTCTACTTATGTGCCAAGTTATACTGAAATCAGACCAAAACTGTAGGAGGAGTAGCATTTTGAAAGAATTTCACAGAAATTCTATTTTTAGTAACCACGGCAACACCGTTCATCGAAATCAAAAACCGATATACAGAATTATGTATCTTAGTGTAGTCTACTTGTGTGCCAAGTTATACTGAAATCAGACCAAAACTGTAGGAGGAGTAGCATTTTGAAAGAATTTCACAGAAATTCTATTTTTAGTAACCACGGCAACATCGTTCATCGAAATCAAAAACCGATGCATAGAAATATGTATCTTGGTGTAGTCTACTTGTGTGCCAAGTTATACTGAAATCAAACCAAAACTGTAGGAGGAGTAGCATTTTGAAACAATTTCACAGAAATTCTATTTTTAGTAACCACGGCAACACCGTTCATCGAAATCAAAAACCGATACACAGAATTATGTATCTTATTGTATTCTACTTGTGTGCCAAGTTATAATGAAATCAGAATAAAACTGTAGGAGGAGTAGCATTTTGAAAGAATTTCACAGAAATTTCTATTTTTAGTAACCACGGCAACACCGTTCATCGAAATCAAAAACTGATATACAGAATTATGTATCTTATTGTAGTCTACTTGTGTGCCAAGTTATATTGAAATTAGACCAAAACTGTAGGAGGAGTAGCATTTTGAAAAGTACGTAAGGGTTGCCCGCAACCCTGTGTCTCGCCTGCTGTCGCTGTGGTTAGTAAGAAATGGTACTGATATTGTTGGTTACCCATGATGTGTAGACTGACAAATTATCATGCCACTATAAGTTATAGTTGCTGAGATATGGACCTCCACCATAAATTTATGCAAAGTCACTCATGCGGAAAAATGTAGGTCAAGATGACCTAATTCTGGTACAGGCGTTTGTGGTTACCCATGATGTATCCACTGACAAATTATCATGCCACTATAAGTTATAGTTGCTGAGATATGGACCTCCACCATAAATTTATGCAAAGTCACTCATGCGGAAAAATGTAGGTCAAGATGACCTAATTCTGGTACAGGCGTTTGTGGTTACCCATGATGTATCCACTGACTAACTATCATGCCACTATAAGTTATAGTTGCTGAAATATGAACCTCCATTATCAATTTAACCAAAGTCATTCATGCAGAAAAATGTAGGTCAAAATGACCTAATTCTGGTACTGATGTTGTTGGTTACTTATAACCTGTACAATGACAAATCATCATGCCATTATAAGTTATAGATGCTGAGATATGGACCTCCACCAAAAATTTAACCAAAGTCACTCATGCAGAAAAATGTAGGTCAAGATGACCTAATTCTGGTACTGACGTTTGTGGTTACCCATGATGTATCCACTGACTAATTATCATATCCCTATAACTTATAGTTGCTGGAATATAGGTCTTCACCATAAATTATCATGAAAAAACTAAGTCCAACTTAAGGAAAAAATACGGAAAAATTTGAATTTTTTTTTTCAAAATCATACTTGGGATATAAATTTTTATCCATACTGAATATTGTGTCCAAATTTCAAGAAGACTGAATAAAATTTGAGAAAGTTATTGCAGTTTATAAAACTTTGACATTTGGGTTAACCAAAAGTTGGACGCCGACGACGACGACGACGACGACGGAATCTATGGTCGCTATGTCTCGCTTCGCGACATTCGTCGCAGGCGAGACAAAAATTGTTTACAGACAGACGGACAGACGGACAGACAGACAGACAGACGGACAGACGGACGGACGCCGGACGCATTACTATCGCATAAGCTCTTCTGGTCTCTGACCAGTAGAGCTAAAAACTTGCAATGTGTGAAAAAAATAACAAGCACCTACGTAATGTAACTAAATGTTATGACTTTGACCTGAGCATGTCATTCTTACTTACCTTTTTGAAATGGTCGACGACGTCACTGTACATGGAAGATCGGAATTTACATAGCTGGCAGATGTACGGCATCTCACATGCATTGTGATTGACCCGCATGTGTGTCATCAGGGCCTGACGTGACTGGTGGTCCCGCTCACAAATACGGCACATCAGCACATTCACGTTATTCATATGTACCTATAAATAGACACATCAGTATGTTCACATTATTCATATGTACCTATAAATAGGCACATCAGTACATTCACGTTATTCATAATGTACCTATACATAGAAACATTTAGAATGTTAATATTATTCATGTGTACCTATAAATAGAAACATAGGTACGTTCACAGTATTCATATATACCTATATATAGACATATCAATATCTCAAATAATGTATCAACCTGTCTGTAGCAGTGTTTATAAACAGTGACAAATATTGTTACCTTTTCCACATGAGTTTGCATCTCAAATGGTGTATCAAACTGTCTATAGCAGTGTTTACACTGCGTCAGGTCACTCAGGTCGATGTTCTGTTGTTTACTGGAGTCAATATGGCCCTGGATGTGCATCATTGCCTTAATGTTGTTATACAACATCTTATTGCAGTACCAACACTACAAAAGAACATCAATATAATCAAAGTACTGAAAAGACTGGATGTGCATCACAGTCTTAATGTTGTCAGATAGCACACAGGTATTGCTGCTGTATAAACATTAAATATATATTTTACATATACCTTCATATATGTGTATCCTCAGTACAAGGTTAACTAGTGACCTTGACCCTGAATTACTGACCTTGAACCTGAATTCATTCTTTTCTTCGCTGTATGTTGGGTCTCCCTCCATCTTTCCGTAATAAAACTCATCCAGCGGCACCCAGTTACCTACAATCAAACAGATCTCACACTTACTGCAATGGTTGAAATCTAAGCTGCTATTATCATTCTGCACATATATGCCTCTTAAATACATATAATTTATGCAAGTTCATATTATCATCAATCAGGATACAGTTTTCTGTTAAAAGTTTCTTTCATGGAGAAATCCAAATCTTATAAATAAAAAAAATTATAAGAAAACAAGAGGCCCATGGGCCACATCGCTCACCTGAGCACTAAGGGTAGGAAAAAGAAGAAAATGGCTTTTTATTGTAAAGTTTAAATCCAAAAGTAGTCCCATGACCAATCATGGATTTGCTATTTTTACTACTTGAGCATGCTTCCATATAAATATGATGAATTATGGCTTTGTCATTCTTGAGAAGAATATTTTTAAAGAGTTTTCCTATACATTTCTATGTTAAACTTTGGTCGGCCATTTATGCCCTGCCCTACCCCCCGGGGGTCAGGATTTGAACAAACTTGAATCTACACTACCTGAGCATGCTTCCATATATATATGATGAATTATGGCTTTGTCATTCTTGAGAAGAAGATTTTTAAAGAATTTTCTTATATATATCTTTAAAAACTTTGGTCGGCCATTTTGGCCCCGCCCTACCCCCGGGGGTCATAATTTGAACAAACTTGAATTTACACTACTTGAGCATGCTTCCTTATAAATATGATGAATTATGGCATTGTCATTCTTGAGAAGATTTTTAAAGAATTTTCCTATATATTTCTGTTAAACTTTGGTCGGCCATTTTGGCCCCGCCCTACCCCCGGGGGTCATGATTTGAACAAATTTGAATCTACACTACCTGAGCATGCTTCCATATAAATATGATGAATTATGGCTTTGTCATTCTTGAGAAGAAGATTTTTAAAGAATTTTCCTATATATTTCTATGTAAAACTTTGGTCGGCCATTTTGGCCCCGCTCTACCTCCAGGGGTCATGATTTGAACAAACTTGAATCTGTACTACCTGAGGATGTTTCCCCATAAGTTTCATCTTTCCTGGCACAGTGGTTCTTGAGAAGAAGATTTTTTAAATATGCCACCAAATTTTTAATAATTCCCAATTATCTCTCCTTGAATGAGGGCATGGCCCTTCATTTGAACAAACCTGAATCTTCTTCACCCAAGGATACTTTGTGGCAAGTTTGGTTGAAATTGGCCCAGCGGTTCTTGAGAAGAAGTCGAAAATGTGAAAAGTTTACAGACAGACGGACAGCTAGACAGAAAGATGGACAGACAGATGGACGCCAGACAAAATGTGATCAGAAAAGCTCAGGTGAGCTTAAAATGAATCTACATATATTCTCCATTTTGCATAAAGTTTCATCACCTTCTTTATACATTATCTTGAATGTGTACAAATCAGTTAATTCAAGTATGCTGATGTCATATAAACACAGTGGGGCCATCTTTTAAAAAATTGCTTCGATGCCTTCTCCCAACAGACTGACTAAAAACAACCCAACTCAAAACTTTTTTTTACCTTCCAGGACTCTATTTTTTTGTTGTTGTTGTTGTTGTTGTTTTTTTTTATTCCTCTTATTCCTTAAAAAAAATAGCAAATATTTTTTTAAAGATGGCCTGATGTATGAAATCAATATGGTCTTATCATATATGACCCTTCACCTTGATTGTCTGTTTCCACTCTCTTGCGTTTCGGACTGGTGTCCTCCAGTTGCTGTGGTAATGCCCTTTTGACCCCAATACCATAGGTGCCATCTACTGGCGTTAACTGCTGTAGAGTTTGCTGTATGTTGGCTGTAAATATAAACATCATCAGTAATGATTTTACAAATGATCAGATTATGTTTTTATTTATTTACTTCCCTAATAAATCATTTGTATGTGGGTTTTTTTTTATTACTGTTTTCATGATCTAAAATTGTGTATTGTTTGGCATGACATAAATTTTGAATATCTGATGTCAAACCATTGGTAAGTAGATTGTTTTGGCATAACACTTTAAAAAGGACTTGATGCGGTCATGGCCAATATTTGCCCCCAAAATCAAACTTTGATGGAGAAATATACATTTTATGTTTTAAAACAGGGAGATATCTGCAGACTTTAAAGCACTGGTTGGTGGTTTTTGTGGTGGGTACTTGGTTATTGTGGTGGTTTGTTGTTATGGTGGGTGGTTGTTATGGTGGTCGGTTGTTAAGGTGGGTGGTGGTTGTGTTGGATGGTTGTTGTGTTGGATGGTTGTTGTGTTGGGTGGTTGTTGTGGTGGATGGTTGTTGTGTTGGATGGTTGTTGTGTTGGGTGGTTATTGTAGTGGGTGGGAGTGATGGTTGTTGTTGTTGATGCCTGTGGTGGGTGGTTTTTGTGGTAGGTAATTATTGTGTGGTGGTGGTGGTGGTGGTACGTACCTCTCTGAGGAATAATGATGCTTCCCCCTTGAATCTGTAGCGCTGTTGTCTGTGGCTGATGGGAGGGAAACCTCTGCAGCTGTTACATTGAGAATCAAGAATGTCATGTGAAAAATACAGCACTGTTAAATTCTAATCATTTTGAGTATATTACAGTCTGAAAAATATCACTCCCACCTTTCTCTGTTATCCAAGTAAGACTGGTTACATTACATGTACTAATTTAAAAAAATAAAGGGGGGGGGGGTGGTGGGGGCAAAATGTCCTATTCTCAAAAGACAAAGTGGAAAGTCACTCTTTATTCATGCATTTTAATTCAGTTTTTTAATTTTAGGCTAGGCAGGATTTCAGAATACACCAGTCTGGATTAGATAAGTTTCAACGTATACATAACACATTGACTGTAGTTTTCTTGCTGTTTTTTTGCTTTACCTGAATCCCGGGCATCTGGACGGTCTGTACCAGCTGTCGAGGAACCGCAGGGAAGTGACTTAGCGGTGCCCTGGCCTGAGCTACCTGGGCGGGTGGTGCCGGTGGTGTCTTCTGTACAGGTGGACTCTCCCCAATAAAGATAATATCAGGACTAGTAGACCTTGGTGGCTCTGAAATGTTAAAGACCACTGTAGATTACTATGACTTAAGTATTTGGTATATATTTATTAGCGAGACAAAATTTTTGCGAACTGTGGTTTCTGTTTATATAATTCTTGTGATTTTTTTATTTAAAATAAACATGATAAAAGATATCTTTAACCAGACGAGTGATATTGAATAAATTGTAAATAATCTTTTTTACGCAAAATGTGGATGAAGTGAAGGTGCCTAGGTCCCATATTTAATTCAGGAACCTAAGTTATCTATTTACATACCCTGTGGTGTCGATCGCGGCGCCTGGGCCCCCTGTATCACGTCAGGACTGTTATCTATATGGTTTTTTACATACCCTGTGGTGTTGATCGCGGCGCCTGGGCCCCCTGTATCACTTCAGGACTGTTATCTATTTAGTTTTTTACATACCCTGTGGTGTTGATCGCGGCGCCTGGGCCCCCTGTATCACGTCAGGACTGTTATCTATTTAGTTTTTTACGTACCCTGTGGTGTTGATCGCGGCGCCTGGGCCCCCTGTATCACTTCAGGACTGTTATCTATTTAGTTTTTTACGTACCCTGTGGTGTCGATCGCGGCGCCTGGGCCCCCTGTATCACTTCAGGGCTGTTATCTATTTAGTTATTTACGTACCCTGTGGTGTAGATCGCGGCGCCTGGGCCCCCTGTATCACTTCAGGACTGAGCTGCTGTAGTGTCGGGGGAGGGACGCGCTTCCGAGGATCATCAAGGACAGTAACAATAGCTTTACCGAGCTGGGCCAGGCGATGAGCTTCTCTCACCTAAAACAAATAAAATACTGAACTCAAAACTGGTCACTATGACAACATGATGAGCCTCTTTTATCTATGAAAACATGAAATTAAGTTGTAGTAGTGCCTCTGAAAACTTGAAGAATTTCCTTACAATTTAAAATCAAAGTAAACAGCTGATATAAGAAATTAACCACATGCCTGTAAAATCAAGCCAAATCTTACATGTTTAAGCTCAAAGAATTTTATCTGAAAGTATACTACTATAGGAAAATGAACAAACTAAAGTCGTACTAACAATTTTAAACTTCAGACATGAGAACATTTCTTAATATTGATTATTTTTAACTCTGTGTGCCCTCTGACCTTTTCCTGTGACCTTTGACACTCCAGTACTTTTTCTTTGTAGGCCGCTATCTGCACCGGACTAAGGCTCTCGTCCCAGCATTCCATCATCAACATGGGCATCGCCGCGCCACTCCGCAGGCTCGTAGATGACATCCGACCACTCTTCTTCACCATCTTCTATGTAAACAAAAATCAATTTTACTGATTAAAAGGATTGTCTTATGCAACTTAAAAACCACATCATGTGACGTCTAGATGTATAGTGCTTTAATGTGATTAAAGTAGTTTTGGATTTTAAGCACTCTGGAAAAAATATTTCAAAATAAGGCCTCCTTAAAAAATTGTTTGTTTGGAATTGCTGCCTGAAGGGTTTCAGACACAAGAGGGAGGGAGGAAAATTATTTTTTTTTTTTAATTGAAGAAAAATTCAAGTTTTTATAAAAATCTACGTAAACAGTAAATACATAGTCTGACTTTAAAAAAAAAAAGTATCTACCATCAACAAAAAAAATTACATAGATCTGACACTATATTCAGGGCTCGACATTAACGCTTGTCTGCTTGTCCGGTACCAATGAAAAATAAATTCGGACAAGTGAATATTGCTGGGCACTTGTCCGATTGGACAAGTGCATTTTAATGTAAAGGGGTCTCTAAAAAATAAAAAGAACGACTGTTGAAAGCTAAATTGGTAGTCTCAAGACGGAAGCTGTACATGAAATCCAAACTTTGATCCCGATATACATCGCTTTATTAATATTGAGTTCACAATCGATCGGGATCGAAGTTCACTAATTGCATACTACTGAAAAGTCATGGAAGATACGAAACAAATTGTGAATATTGTTTGATGTTGACAGGTTTCTCTTATTGTCACGACAAAAAGCCTAAATTACATTTCCTTTTATGTGTCTGTTGTATTTATCAATAACATCAAGAATCAATCAAGCGCATGACTTGTGTAAATAAATGGACTTAATTTTAATTTTCAAGTTGAAACTATTGAACTTTATTGAAAATTTTCGGACAAGTAAAGTTGAAATTCGGACAAGTAAATGTCTTGGTCATTTGTCCAAATGGACAAGTAGGAAAAAAAGTTAATGTCGAGCCCTGTATATTACAGTATTTTGTATGGTGCATGTGACACATGTAATGGGCAAAAAAATTGATAGAAAAAAGTTCCTACTTTTGGTCAATAATTTTTTTTCAAGAGGGGGCATTTCAATGAGGCAGGAGGCAATTCCAAACAAACTTTACTTTTATTTTGGCCTAAACATGATAAATTCAAAAATATTTTACATCATGCGCAAAGAAGTCGAATTGCAAGGAGGCGACCTAATTCAAGTGTCGATGCTTAATTTGTCAATGATATGGCGATAGTAACCTTTCAATGACAATTAATTCATAGAAGAATCACCCCTTCACTTATTTCTTGCATCTTGAGAGTTAGTTCCAAGAAATAAAGGTGTAAAAGGAAGGCAGAGTTGCAACACCAGCAGGTGTCGATTAACTCCCACTTTTCAATCTCCACTCTGACTCTCCCCTGCACAAGTCGCAATGGGGTTAAGAGTCTGAAGACTCTCGGATCACATCACAGGCACCTGAAGTATGGATAATACCCCCCTTTTTTTTAATGAAAAAAAAAATGTAAAAGTGTATAATACCTCGAAAATATAAAATTTCCCCGTCAAACACATCTATATGTCGTTATATGCAAGCAGATTGTACTTTTTCTTACGTTTAAAAATAATGCATTAATGGCCCTATTTGGTATAATAAAAATACACAAGGTAAGAAACAAAAGTTGTAAACAAACGGGGGGACCCCACTTCGAGACAGATTTCCAAGGTAAATACAGTGTTACCTATCATACTTTTGCAAACATTCTGTCTGGAAGATGTACTTTTACTAGTCTCTTTAACCTAAACCCCGCTATAATCGTTTGATATGCCGTAAATATACGATTTATTAATCGGATACATAAAATTTTCTCCATTGGCAGCGTTGGAGGAGGTTTTGGGGCTGTTTTTCTGTTTCACCTTCTCTGATTGGTTAGATATTTAAACTGTATTACATTTAGCCAATCAGATAAGGCGAAACAGATGAGCAACTCCAAAACCTCCTCCAACGCTGCCAATGGAGAAAATCTATGTATCCGATTAATAAATCGTCTGATTACGGCATATCAAACGCTTATAGCGGGGTTTAGGTTAGAGAGACTAGTAAAAGAACATCTTCCAGACAGAGTGTTTGCAAATGTATGATAGGTAACACTGTATTTACTTTGAAAATCTGTCTCGAAGTGGGGTCCCCCCTTTTGTTTACAACTTTTGTTTCTTACCTTGTGTATTTTTATTATACCGAATAGGGCCATATTTTAAACGCAAAAAAAAGTACAATCTGCTTGCCTATATCGACATATAGATGTGTTTGACGGGAAAATTTTTCATATTTTTGAGATATTATAGCGAGCGCAGCGAGGCGGCGCGAAGCGCCGCTCGCATAGCGAGCTCTTAAAGCAACGCCTGTGCAAAGAGAAAATTCGGACTTCTGCACATTTATTCAATAGAATTTTTTGATGCCGAATTTGGACCCACAATGCATCACTTGTTTTAGCTACGTTCTCGTGAGAATCACGCCAAATGTTCAACAAAAAGTTTACTCGCCTTGATTTAATGGATATATATTGAAGATAAATAGAAAATAAAACGTTCTTCCTTAACTTTCAGCACTGTTCAGGCTTTTTCTCGGTATATATATTGCAATTTGCATACGTCATGTGATGTCAGAGTCTAGACGCACCGAATGTCACGTGCGGCTTGACGAGCCCGATCTAAATTAAAACAACAGAAGAGTTTGCGCTCGCTCTAACGGTCGCACCGTCGACATATTACACTCTTACAACTTGTTTTCATTAAAAAAAGGGGGGGGGGTATTATCCATACTTCAGGTGCCTGTGATCACATTACCCAAAGCTCCTCCCATGCTGTATTTTCACCTCATTTTACAAAAATACGATAAATATTGCAGAAATGCACATTAAAAAAGAAATGTCTCCACTTTATCCACAAACCTTTTTTGTTCCTTTAACTGATGTAAACAATTTTATGATTATGATATGGTCACAATAGCCAAATCATCACCCCACTGTCTCCACTGCTTGCACAATCTTTTATAACGTGATTGACAAATGCTTAAGAAGAAGCTGGCAAAATATTTTAGAGGATGCTCTTTGCTGTAAAACGCATCACTAGTCAATAATTTTGCAAAATGCATTCGACGGTCTGGATCATGGAGGGTAATCTTTTTATTCTAGGTTATATAAACGCATACCAATTAGACACAATATCAACTCGTGATTGACAAGATTTCAACAGACCTAGACGCAATATGTAAATTTTTATTATTGATAATTGTGAACTGATAAAACGAAACTTAAGACCATTTAAATTTTGTATATAATTCTGCAGAATAATATCTTGATTGGCAAAAGATACTAAAATGAAAAGTCTTGCTACTTAAGGTCGAGAAATCGTTCAATTTATTGGCTATTAAAAAATATTAAGATTTTCGTTTTGTTAATAAATTTCCATGCAATCGTAGATTTCACATTTTCCTCAGCATAAACAGACGGACGACACAAAGCGAAGTCGTTGAGCTTCTTTGACAAAACACAGAGCCGTCGTTGTAGACGTGGTGTTTATATTCTGAGGGTATCGATGGCTGAGGCGAGATGTGCCGTGCACGAACCCTCGGTCCCGCATGTGGCTTCGGAGGAGGAATATCAGAGAAACATTTACAACGAATGGCGAAGGTCGCTCGTCCGCCGATTCTACAGAACCAGGTATATAGAGATCGATACAGGTGATTGGTTATATTTACCAGAATCTGTATCCGTTACAGACATGCCAATTTTGTTATTGGTACTTTGATGAAAATTCTGACAATATATTTTTTTTGAAGAATGAATTACAAAGCATGCCTTATCATGTGTATTGGGAAATACTTGGATTACAGTAGCAATGTCCACTTCTTGGTAACCGACTTTTGTCTAGTGTTTTTTTTTTTTAAAGTTGTCGAATAATGGGAAATGATAAACACTAATACATTTAGCCTAATTGTTGATTTGAAATGTTTGCACACAATAGAAAATTACCTTTTATCAGGGAAAAGTAAAAAAGAAATAAATATCATATATGTTATCTCAAAATGATATATAGGCTATAGTTTCTTTACAATGATACAGGAGAATTATTTTGTATTATATGTTATAATAATTTCTTGGTAGATCAATACAACCCTATACATGCTACTGGCCCTATGTATTTCAGATTCGAATAACATCTTAATTATATTTTATGACAATGTTGCTTCACCATTTCCCCATTAAACATAATGGGAAAAAAAATACATGAATGATATTCTAATAGTAAATCTAAATCATGCTAAAATTTTGAGAAAAGGGAGTTTTAATGCTTCGGTGTGGGTCTATAAATTTAAAATGATTAATTTGTGAATATTTTCATATATTCATGTGAAATCAGAAAAAAATGTGACTTTTTCCAAAATGTATTTATAGCGAGCGCAGCGAGGCGGCGCGAAGCGCCGCTCGCGTGGCGAGCTCAATAGACTAACGTGTACGAATGGAGGAAATTCAGGTTGGAATCTGCACATTGTTCCAAGAAATTTTTATGAGTCCACGTGAAAATATTCTCATATCCCAATAATCCTTTGCGGTGCATAGCAACATGGTGGCTAAAACATAGCAACAACTTACTTGAAAAAAAATACAAACAACGATTTATTGCAATCTCCATGCCACAAAACTATCGTTTGCGTTCTAAGTCAACAGGACTTTTTATTTGACGTCATACTTTCGTCACTTCAACGGCTCGGGTATTTCCGATTTTGTCACAAACTTCCGAAAAGTTTGGAATCTCGATCCCGATGCCTGGGATACGGAAGCGTATTAGGGCCGCAGCAGTATTTTTTTTAAAATTTGTTATAACAAATTATTAATTTGTTATAACAAATTATTAATTTGTTATAACAAATTATTAATTTGTTATAACAAATTATTAATTTGTTATAACAAATTACTAATTTGTTTAAACAAATTGATAATTTGTTATAACAAACTACAAATTTGTTATAACAAATTGATAATTTGTTATAACAAATTGATAATTTGTTATAACAAATTGATAATTTGTTTAAACAAATTGATTATTTGTTATAACAAATTGATAATTTGTAATAACAAATTATTAATTTGTTTACACAACTTGATAATTTGTTATAACAAATTGATAATTTGTTATAACAAATTGATAATTTGTTATAACAAATTAAGTAGTAGTTTGTTATAACAAATTATCAATTTGTTATAACAAATTATCAATTTGTTATAACAAATTATCAATTTGTTATAACAAATTATCGATTTGTTATAACAAATTATCAATTTGTTTAAACAAATTATCAATTTGTTTTAACAAATTATCAATTTGTTAAAACAAATTAGTAATTTGTTATAACAAATTAGTAATTTGTTATAACAAATTAGTAATTTGTTATAACAAATTATTAATTTGTTATTATACAAATATGGACTCAATGTAGGTCAATATGCATTTATAATGACCCAAGATGACAGATATTGTCCTCAGATACATGTAGTATATCGACCGAGGGCGCTAGCCCGAGGTCGATATACTTCATGTATCTGAGGTCAATATGTCATCCTGGGTCATTATAAATGCATATTGACCGTGCATTGAGTCCATATTTATTATATTATATAAATAATAATTTCCCAAATTTATTAGTGCAATGTATATCATCCTATTATTTACAGAGATAGTATTAACCATAAATAAGTTGAATGTAAATGTTTCAGAATTCATTGAATATTACTCAGAGGAAATTGTTTCGGCATAAATTTCCCACATCATAATAATGACGCAAGATATCTATCTCCGAATAACACAGAGTACCCCCTCCCCCAGATTGAGATTCGCTCTCATTTACACTTGCAGACGAAATGCACTGACAAAATATAAATACCTATGCCTTCTAAGAATAGATACATGGCATGCTTGTCTTATGTCTATATTTTCCTTAGTCTCCGTAATCGCGTAAACAGCGTCAAAACTCTGCTCGCTGAGTGGAAAGGTCGAACTCAACCATGAAATGGTATGTGCTTATTATTCCCGAAAAATATTCACAAATATCCTAGTAATTGGTTTGTATTATCAGTCTCAGAGTTCTTCACTATATGTCTTGATTTAAATTTTCCTCACCTTCCACTTGCGAACTTCCATGTTTGTCTAAATCGAAAGTGAAAACGAGGCAGCTCGTGCGAGTCATTATTCGCTTTCAGCGGTCGTTATCAAAAAATAAGTACTTCGTATTGACCAATCAGATTACCGGATTTCACAAAGTTATATAATATAACAAATTATCAATTTGTTTAAACAAATTATCAATTTGTTATAACAAATTAGTAATTTGTTATAACAAATTACTAATTTGTTATAACAAATTAATAATTTGTTTAAACAAATTAGTAATTTGTTAAAACAAATTATCAATTTGTTATAACAAATTAATAATTTGATATAACAAATTCATAATTTGTTATAACAAATTTAAAAAAAATACTGCTGCGGCCCTTATACGCTTCCGTACTGGGAAGTGATTTTTTACAATTCTTTTCTTCTTTTTAAATGAACTGGGGATAGGCAGTGCAAGTAAAAGCTGTGTAAGTTTTTTGATAGTAAATAACTGCGCTCGCCCCAACGGTCGCACCGTAGAACATATATTAAGAGTATAGCTATGCCTGTAAAGTGTAATCATTAGATACAATTATTTAGCCAGATGAGATCAAGCCATTGTAAAGTGTTTTTCCCTATCCATGCTATCTGGTGACTATCTCTGCTGGCTACATGTAACCACAGGAAATTCCTTGTTTTTCCTTTCGAGTGAAAACTTTTTTTAATCATTTTAATCAGGGAAATGAGATAGTTAACTTTTTAACTGTTCATTTTTTTTTTAATAAATGCCACAAAACCATGACACTTGGATATTTAAATTGAGAAAAATAGGGCAAATAATTATGTATCACCACAGAATTATGTATACAAGTAAAAGAATCATTAATGTCCCTATGTTCCTTATATATCTCAGACGCATTGGATATGGGAATTTATGGATCAAAAGTTATTTTGATGAACCTCTAGCATGCTATATAAATTTAACATGTTCCATTGAAAGTAAAAGAACAAACAGTCAAAACTTGTTTAGTCCAAACATGGATATTGGGAATTTATGGATATAGCGAAGTTATCTTGGATCCCAAACTATATAAATTTAACAAATCCCTTAAGAAACGAATACATGTATAAAATGAATTATCGATATAGCAAAGTAATTTCATAGGTCCCAGTGACTTTCTTATAACCAAGTTTTACTGTGCATAATTATCAAAATACAAATTAATTATTTTAGAGGTATATTTAATTTTTCCCTTTAATCTAACACTTAGTAACAAGATGCTTATTTAAAATATTAGATTGACACTTTCAAGACAGCTAGAAATTCTATTGTAAGCTGCGGCTTGGGAAACAAGGGGGTAGAGTTATAACTCAGTAGAAGGATCTGGCCCCCTCCCACCAGCATTACATTTTTTTTAATGGCCTTTTTATCTGCTTGATCTATTTTTCAATTTTTTTTTTAATTTCTAGACCAATCTGATTAAAATTAGATCTTTGATCCACTCCAGCTACACAAAGTGATCAAACTGGAGTGGATCAAAGATTTACATTTTAAATAGATTGTTTCTAGACCCCCTTCTCTCTCTCTCTTTTTTTTTTGCAGGGGGGGGAGGTAGTCAAACTGTAATTAATACTAGTATTGTCAGGATTTATAATGAATAATTATTGAATCATATGGTTAGTATTAATAATTATCATAAAAACGAGAATCAGGAATTATGATCATGAATTATTTAGTTGACTCTTAATCATGTTAATTTGCTTCATTTCTGTTTAATATGTTATTGTATGTGTGAGAGTGAATAATGAGTATGTTTGACACCCTTATCATTTGAACCCAGATACAGTTGATGCATACCTTTATAAGTAAGTTAGTCATATCATAGTACAGTTATCATATTAAATGATAATACTATTTTTTTTTTTTTTTCGAGATATGATAAAACTCGGTTATCAGAATACAGTAGTGTCACCCTGTCACATTGAAATCTCTGCCTCTGTTAAATGGGTTGCTGTACTATGTTAATATTAATTATAAGTCCTACTTATTATCATGATTATAGGGGGTCAAAGTACAATTGTACTGTACTAGTACTACATCGAAATATAAACCACTTATAGGCTATAGCACTCTTGCTAATGAACATGATGTATGTTCGTTTTGATTGGAAATCAGAAAAAATATATATAGGTCATCTTTTTATTTATGTAACCAAATGTTACAAGGGCAATGACACATTTAATGATAATAAATTATGCAAGATTTATATAAATCATTGTCAAATGAATAGAATAGATTTATTCTTTCAAAAATCCTCTAGTAATCATGGTAATCAGTGTGGTGCAAATTAAGTAAAAAAATATATTTTTTAATGATTTGCAAGATTTATCATTGTTTATAAATATTAACCACTGAATCAGATATAAAACTTGATAAATATATGTTATATATGTCTTGTACTGACTTGCCTTCTCTTTTAAGTTAAGTTGGGAATTGTAATTAATCATGTGACTTTGCTATACCATTAATGCTTCCTTTCTCATTGTTATTTCTTTTATGACAAAATTACAGACAAAATGGAAAAAATAGAAGGGAAAGAAAGAACAACAATGCTGTAGAAAATGACTGCTGAATAAAATGAATAGCTTGACGTATTGAGATGGGTAAACAAAATCGATATTTCAGCATGTTAAGCATATTGCAATGACAAAAAATATCATTATCATGTTGCAATACATATTTGTATATTGATATACATGTACATGTACCAACAAAAATGCTTAGACAGAGGAATTTTATCATTAAATAAAAAAAGGGGGAGGGGGAGGTAAGGCTAATTTTTTTTCAGATGTCAACTTCTTTCAGTACCAATTTCTTCTGGCATACAATGCTACATTTCCCTTATATTATTACTTTACCATAGTATTAACTGGGAGGGGGGGGTACTTCAATGAAAATATTTCATTGAAAATTTTCAATAGTAAAAGTATAAGCTCCCCCCCCCCCCCCTAATCCCCCACCCCGTTCTATGTGCCTGATACATAACTAGGTAATGCTGCATCATTTTTTTTTGGTATCCTTTAGAAACCTGCTGTACAATGGAATGTGGCCGACCTCTATATGGAACCTGGCAGCGATGGTGGTTATTTTATCTGCGATCATGATTTTGGATGCAGAAGTGATGCGACCAATTAATGATAGACTGTGGAAAGTCCATCACATGTTATATATACCTAAAGGTACAGTTTTTCTATTGGCCTCAATCTTTACCTTATTAAAAGTCTAGAAACCAAATAATGCAGTACATACAAATTTTAAAACAAAGTTGAGAAATATGTATTAAAAGTATTTCAAGTCGAATCAGTATTTTTATGAAACAAATCATAGAGAGAGAAATAAACAGATTCTAAATCCTTATATAGCTACTTCTGAAGGAGAATTACTGATCATGAGAAACCTATCAGTCTTGAATACTCGCAAAAATAAATTATATTAAATTTTTGTGTCATTGTATTTTTACCTTGATACAAAAATCAAAGTCTATTAAATTCATTCCCTGAAACATTGAATCATGTTTTTTTCCCTATTTATGACAGGACTTCCCCTGGTGGTGAATGTGGTTATTACTTCCTGTTTTGTGGGATTCTGGTTTTTCCTCATCAAGATCTATGTGCGGCGATATTTACTCCGGGGCCTTCTCTCCTACAGGGGCTGGATGTGTAAGTCTGAAAAATAAAGCAGGGACGGAAATGAAAAACATTTAAGGTTCACTATCTCTATAAAGGTCACTTATACAATATTCTACTTTTGAAATTTAATAAATGTAGATTTTAACATTCATGATATTCCAAGGAAGAAAAATCTTTAGTTATTTATTGTTATATTGCACACATTTTCAACCCATCTTGCAAGTAGGAGTGATTCTCTGATCAAAAAGTAAATGGACCATAGAAATAACTTTAGAATTTTGTGCTAAGACATTGAGATAAAAGAACATTATCCATGAAAAGTGTTTGTCTAACTGTCTATTTCATGTAGAATTGAATATATTTGTATTTAACAGATGAGCAGCCTAAGACCCACTCTATCAGTACTATACTGTGGGGTGTACTGGTCAATATTTTACTGTATTTTACAGATGAGCAGCCTAAGACCCACTCTATCAGTACTATACTGTGGGGTGTACTGGTCAATATTTTACTGTATTTTACAGATGAGCAGCCTAAGACCCACTCTATTAGTACTATACTGTGGGATAAGATAGTCAGTGGCTACAGACCCAGCTCTATTAGTACTCTCTGTGGGATGAGCAGCCTATAGACCCACTACTGAAATCACTATTATACTGTGGGGTGTACTGGTCAATATTTTACTGTATTTTACAGATGAGCAGCCTAAGACCCAGTCTATCAGTACCATACTGTGGGGTGTACTAGTCAATATTTTACTGTGGGGTTTACTGGTCAATATTTTACTGTATTTTACAGATGAGCAGCCTAAGACCCAGTCTATCAGTACCATACTGTGGGGTGTACTTGTTAAGGTGGTCAGTGGTTACAGCCCTAAGCTGTACAGTTGTCAGTCGTCTCTCGCCCGTATGCCGGTCCCCGCCCTCCGAGACACACTGACCAAGCTCCTGAAATCACTCGAGCCCCTGTACGGCGACGACAAGGAAAAGTGGAACAAACTAAAGAAAGATGCGGAGGATTTCGAGAAAGGATACGGACCAAAGTTACAGAGGATACTCAAACTGAAGTCATGGTGGTGTAACAATTACGTAACTGACTGGTGGTAAGTTACATGGGCTACTAAAACTAAAATAATGGTGGTGTATTTGACTGATACCTTATAAACCAACATGTATTTGCCTGCGAGAAATATCTGCAATCTGCTTAAAATGGAGCTATTGATTTTGCTTTGAAGAGAATGTTTCCTTAGTTATGAAAATTAATTGTTGTGGATTGATTCCAAACTGAAAATCACAAGTAAAAGATGATACAGAAAAAATTTGGTTTGCAGTCGCTTGGAAGTTCCAGAAAATGATAAAACTGAATTTGTCCTGGTCAAAAAATTACATTGCTGAATGTTATTAATTATTAAGTAAGATATGTTACTAAAGCAGAGGTTTTGATAGTATGACTTGAGTAAAAAGTGGTAAGTTACATGTGTTACTGTATATGCAGTGGTGTAACAATGTCACGACTGGCTATGCTTTATTTGACAGGGAGAAGTATGTGTATTTATCTAGCAGAGACCCCCTACCAATCAACAGTAACTACTACATACTGGATCAGGAACATTGGACCCCTTCCCCTATACAGACAGCAAGGTACTTGTACTATACAAGTATAAACTTCATTAACTTATTTAACTGAGACAACACAGTAATGTTGAAATTATATGTGATTATTGTGTTCTGCTTTGGTTCTAGGATTTCCAGCACAGTGTACAATGTCCTGAAGTTTAAACAGCTTAGAGACCGTGAGACACTTGAACCCCTGCTGATCAGACAGACCATTCCTGTGTGTATGGCCCAATACGAGAGGATGTTCTCCACAACCAGGTAATTATCTGTGTATGGCCCAGTACAAGAGGATGTTCTCCACAACAAGGTAATTATCTGTGTACCACCCAGTTACAACCAGGTATTATCAGTGTATGACCCAGTTACAACAAGGTAATTATCCTTGTATGACCCAGTTACAACCAAGTAATTATCTGTGTATGACCCAGTATGAGAGGATGTTCTCTGCAACAAGGTAATTGTGTGGATTACATAAAGTTTATCTATAATTAAAGAAAGATAAGAAGATCCCTGAATTTGACCAGTGTGTTATATTGTCTCTGTCAGATAAAATATGAGAAACATAATCTTTTAAATAGTTTGTTAATCAAATGTCTAAAACTTTGTAGAATTCCTGGAGAAGAGTGTGATACCTTACTGACGTATGACTCCACTGTCTCCAAGGTAAGGATTATCTCCCTTATGTATGTGAAGGAATGGGGAAAAAGAGCAGAATTGACATGTCAGTTGTGCTTTATCATGATACATTGTAAATATTGACCCATCAATTTTTTTGCATATGTATGCCTGACAATGTACAGTTAAACTCGTTTAGTACGAACACAGATATTGCGAAATATAATGGATATAGCGAAGTCATTTTGTCATGAAGTCATTTTAACTCACAGACATTTGTTTCTGTAATAAATTTTTGACCCAAAGTATAATAATAACACAAGGTATCTAACCCCAATTTACACCGCGTAGCCCCCTCCCTTAGAATCACGCTCATTTACACTTTCAGGGGAAATGCACGTGTAAACTGTTTATACCTATGTCTTCTACGATTATTTATCTACACAACCATAGCTGGCATGCTTGTCTTTATTTTCTTTTATCTCCGTAATCAGCGTCAAAACTCTACTCGCTGAGTGGAGAGTGAAACTCAACCATAGAATCGTATATTATAGTCTTGGGCAAACAATTAGACCTCTAATTTGATTGGCTAAAAATCTGTTTCTAAAATTACATCGGAAAAACATCGTAGTGTTATTATGGAAAATAAGACACTATGAAATTTTATTTATTCGATGCAATATTTAAAATCTGGAATTGAATTTTTAAACACATGCATTCTTTAATTTTTCTTTTTGCCCGAGATTAGCACATACCGTTTTATGGTTTAGTACGAGATTTTCTACTCGGTGAGTAGAGTTTTGACGCTGTTTACGTAGATTAAAGAAAACAAGGACAAGCAAGCTATATATGGTTGTGTAGATGAATTATCGTAGAAGACATAGTATAAACAGTTTACCCGTGCATTTTCTCTGCAAGTGTAAATGAGCGTGATTCAAAGGGAGGGGGCTACTCGGTGTAAATCGGAGTTAGATACCTTGTGTTATTATTATACTATGGGTCAAAAATTTATTACAGAAACAAGTGCCTGTGCCCTAACTCTATAAATTTTTTAAAATTCTGATACAGATATAACTAATTATGGATATAGTGAAGTATAATTTCTTAGGTCCCAGTGACTTCGTTATAACTGAGTTTTACTGTATAGTGTTTTGTTTCTATACTTTGACATGTTTTTCTGGATTGTTTCAGCACATAGCGGTGTGGAGGAGAGGTGTGCTGTACAAACTGGAAGTTTTTGACAAAAAAGGACGTCTCCTGACTCCAACACTGATACAGAAACAGTTAGAGTGGATAATACAGGACGCTGATAAACATACAGGTAAAGCAGGGTTGGAAATTACAGCCCGCCCGACCGCCCGAGACGGTCTGTTTTTCAGGCGGACGGGTACAAAACTGCTGTTGACAGCCCGGTGGTCGGGCTAATTTTAATAGCCAGATCTTGTTTTTATACTGAGAATTTATTTAGTTTATTAACAAAAATCTACAGACTACGTGGTGTATCTCACTAATTTATAAACCTGTCTGGTTTTATTACTGCTGAATTAAGTGAAACTGCAGGGCACCTGTTTTGCTTCTGCATCGAATACTCTGTCGGAACTCCTCTAGATTTTACACTCGGGTGTATGAAAAAGTCCATTGTTACTAAGTGCAAAACAGCTGGGCAGCTATCGATGTCTTGCCAAAGATGATTGTGTGAAATGATTTTAGATCTTTTTATCGTCAAATAATTTATTCATGCTGTACTGTGATACAGACATATTTTTACTATTTAATTGTCGAGTTTTTAACCGTCTAAGAAGTTATACGTCTTGATAATCATAAGTAGTTCAATCAGCATGCAGTTAAGTGCATATTTTTTTTTTTAGAAAAAGAATTTAAAATTGAAAACGAATTTTGAAGAGAACAAAATAATGACTATGCTAAGAGCTGAAAATCTTAAACAAGAAGAGAAAAAAGGGGGTTCATCTTTTAAAGGTTAATTGTGTAAAAAATTAATTTTTAAACTAGGTTGTTTAAATAATACCAGGGACCTACATTCTATAAGTCCCTGATAATACAAAGTAACTATTATAATAATGTATTTATAAGTTATAACAATGATTTATGAAATGTTTTTATTTCTAAAGAGTTTAATAATGATCAAGGTGCACCACGTAATCCAAGAACTCGTCTCCCTAAATTTCTCTGAGGGAGAAGTGAACTCTCCATTGATTTTGGGACTAGGTTGGTCTATGGAAGATTTATATAGATCACTGATGACTAGATTAATTAATAGTTTTAAAGCATGTTAAACTTAAAATATGCATCCCCTGGTTTATGATCAGATATGGTTTCCAATGTTGTGTAAAATGTGAAAATTGCAAGGGGATGTAAGTCCTATGTTACAAGTGTAAATATAAGCTTTATTTATAGTAAATTCATAATGATGAGCATTTTATCAGGACTGGTAGATTTCGAGCAGGACTGGTAACTTTTAAAAGTAGCCAGCCCTGTGGCTGGCTGCAATTTTATGCGAATTTCCAACCCTGGGTAAAGGGGGCTAACTCTTACTCCAGCACAATGAACTGACTACAACTTTATAGTACAAGTAATGTACATATACCGGTACATCATTTCAATTTTGTATGAAAATTTTTGAATTCTCTAAAGTTTACGTCTTTTTCCCACGGGGTCAAAATTCATGGTAACACATTTTCTGTTCAATTTGCCAGGAAAAAAAATTATTTACTAAATGCAGGGCTGTCACAGCACCTTTTGGTACAGGGACCGGGTCCCTCTATATTGGTAAAAATCCTCGACATTTTTGTCAAATTGGGAAAATTTTAAACATACCTTCATGTATTAAATTAACACCCCCCCCCCCCAAAAAAAAATTAATCATGAAAGCCATTTATCACTTTAAAAGTATACTTGAAAAGCTAAAATTTACAGGACATAAGGTCTGATAAAATCTATATTTAACAGACCAAACATTTACTTGCTAAGCAGGCTTTTTTCCGTATGATACAGAGACTGAAAAACGTGGGGAGGGGGTATTTCTTACTGTTTAATTGCATTTGAAATAAATTTAAAAAATTAGATTATAAAGAATAATTTATTGAAATTATCAAGTTACTAATAAAAATTTTCCTTTAAAATGTAATATCATAAAATTGCCTAGACCTACAATTTATGTCTTTTTTTCTGCCAATTCTGGTCATTTAACACATGCAAATGAAACAGAAAGTATCCAAGATTTTATTTTAACTTATAATTCACTTTAAAATTGTTAATTTATTTTATGAACTAACTCATAATGGTTATCCTTGCTTAATAATTAAAATAAGTTCCCCAATTCAATCTACGTATGACCTATCCATAGATCTCTATTCCATAACAGAGGAAATTCGAATTAGAAATAAACGATCATGATAGGGTTGTTGCAGATTAAAATCAATCATGGATTACTGCTAAATGGATCAAAAAAAGGATGTATGTGTGGAAAATTAGTTGTAGAAAATGCGTCTTTGGGAATTTTTAAGTCTGAAATTGGGAAAATCTAGCACTTTGTGCCATTGGGAATGGGTCCGATATTCGGTCCTAATTTGAGGGCAGTGACGGCCCTGAAATGCGTATATTACATGCATTGGGACAAATATCTGCATAAGAATTTGACTGCATATTCAACTTAAATTAATATGATCACTCTTTTAAATAATAAGAATTTATACGTGTGTAAAAAGAATATTGAATATACCAATTTGTTAACTCTGTAATTGACTTGTGTATTGTGTATTTTCTGTCCCATTGCCATTTGCCAGAAGGTCAGAAATCTGAAACACAAAACTCTCCAGGTAAAATCATCTCCATGTAATACATTATAGAAAAATAATTTTGGACAAAACATTTTTACACACACAGATTCCTACAGCAGAGAGGAGAAGATTCTGGCCTGTTTAACTGGACAGGAACGAGTTAAATGGTGGAGGATCCGAGATCAACACTTCTCCAGGGGTGTCAACCGCGAAACCATGGACATGATAGAAAAAGCCATGTTCTGTGTATGTTAATGTATGAGAGAGAGAGAGGGAGAAGAGAAAGGAAGAGAGAAAAAGAGAAAAGTGGGGCAAAGAGAGAGGAAAACTGAGACAGAAAGAAAAAGTGGGGGAAAGAGAGAGGAAGAAAAAGAAAGAGAGAAAGAGTGGGGAAAGTGGGAAGAAAGAGAAACAGTGGGGAGGGAAGAGAGAGGGAGAGAGAGAGATTTCTGATTTTTAACTGGAATGATTTAAGGTTCATTAAACAAAATGAAAACTTAAGGTTATTATAATAATATTTTACTTTTTAGTTAACACTTGAGACAGAGAAATACGAGACCATGACACAGAGAGGCCTCTATCTACTGTGTGATAATGACGGAAAGCTGTGGTACGATAAATGTTTTAACCTGGTCTCTTTCCCTGACGGAAGGATGGGCTGTAACAGTGAACACTCGTACGCCGACGCTCCGATCATAGCTCACCTGCTGGAGTACAACTTTACTGCAGAGTAAGTTATGACTGAATTATGACTAAACTGTAAACACTCGTACGTGGACGCTCCGATCATTGCTCATCTACTGGAGTATAACTTTACTGCAGAGTAAGTAATGAGTGAATGATGACTGTAAACTGTAAACACTCCTACGCCCATGCTCCAATCATCGCCCATCTACTCGAGTACAACTTTACTGCAGAGTAAGTAATGACTGAATTATGACCGTAAACTGTAAACACTTATACGCTGACGCTCCTCATAGCTCACCTGCTCGAGTACAACTTTACTGCAGAGTAAGTAATGACTGAATTATGACCGTAAACTGTAAACACTTATACGCTGACGCTCCCATCATAGCTCATCTACTGGAGTACAACTTTACTGCAGAGTAAGTAATGACTGAATTATGACCGTAAACTGTAAACACTTATACGCTGACGCTCCTCATAGCTCACCTGCTCGAGTACAACTTTACTGCAGAGTAAGTAATGACTGAATTATGACCGTAAACTGTAAACACTTATACGCTGACGCTCCTCATAGCTCACCTGCTCGAGTACAACTTTACTGCAGAGTAAGTAATGACTGAATTATGACCGTAAACTGTAAACACTTATACGCTGACGCTCCCATCATAGCTCATCTACTGGAGTACAACTTTACTGCAGAGTAAGTAATGATTATATTATGACTGTAAACATTGGTACGATAATCGCTCATATACTGGAATACAACTTTACTGCCGAGTAAGTTATTAGTAAAAATGGGCTACTGGATCTGTAAAGTGAAAGAGATAATAACTGTGACCTTACTCACCTATACAAAGTATTCAATGAACTTGACAGAAGTATAATTTATGAGCATGTGAATGGGTATTGTATGTAAGGGTAACCCACAAATCCATGAACATTTGGCCTCAACAAACAGTAATGATTTCACAGTATACCTGTCTCAAAATAAAATTATAAATTTCTTCAAAGATTTTTCCAGCTAAACTTGTAATATCTACAACTGCTTGAGTTAGGATATTTAAAAATCTCACTGACATAGATTTTGGTTGATAAGAGGTACTAATATCATGAATTATGTCATTTTGAGAGGATTTTAAAATCACTGAGGAACTTATAAAATGTTAGTATTTTTTGTGTCTGTGAAGTCAGATAAGAACTCTTCTGTGTTGTAGAGCTTTAGAGGAGTGTGGTTTCCTTAAGGATGGGTCCCTGCCTCCAAATCCCGAGGATTCAAACTACGTCCTCTCTAAACCCACGCGACATATATGGGAAGTAACTCCAGATCTTAGGACTGCCATTATTGAGGCCGAAAAAGTCTGCAAAATGGTATAAAATTTTATAAAAGTATTGCAAGAGAATGACAACCTTTTCTCAAAGGTTTTTTTTTTGTTAATAAATAATTCTCAATGAGAGATGGTGTTACTATTGAAATTCAAGTCAACAGGTAGGAATTAGACAATTTTTTCCCCTTAAAATTTATAAGTTTAAGAGTTAAAAGAGAGGAGACACATTTCATTCTATAATATATTCTGAGAGTTTTTTTTCTATATATAGAATTCAGATGACCTTGACCTTTGTCTGAGGGAGTTGACCATTTATGGAAAAGGGTTCATGAAGACCTGTAAGGTAAGTCTGTAACTCAGTGCCAAATCATACTGAAGGATGTATCGGTCAAGATGGAGCTTATTAGATAGTCACCTATTAATAAGTAAAGAATGTAAAGAAGTTTGAGAGGAAAGCAGGAGCTATTTACCCTAGGTAGCTTTCAGCATTTAATTTACAGGAGATGTGTTATTACAATTATTACTTTTTCTGATGGGCATATATAACATACACTGTGTGCAGTGATATTGTGTTAAATTTTATCTATTTCTGACAGTAATGTGTACATTAAATGTAGTGATACAAGGATATGATTGTGTGTGATGTCTATTGAACTACTGTCTCTGATGGTGATGTACATGTATTTTGTACACTACAGGTGAGCCCAGATGCATTCATCCAGATGGCGCTTCAGGTGACCTACTATAAGAATGCTGGGAAGTTTGCCCTGACGTACGAGTCCTCCATGACCAGACTTTATCTTCAGGGGAGAACGGAGACGGTCCGAACACTCAGCAATGACTCAGCAGCCTTTGTTAAGTACGTCGTCACAGGCCTCAGATCTTATCAAGTATTATCATGGCCCAGGAGTAATTGACGATAATTTTAGAAAATCTTTTGTTTTTATTGAAATGAGGTAAACAATGCAGATCAAGAATTTCCACAAGACTTTGTTTCCTCAAATGATTGGAAATTCAATTCTAGTTAATTTTGAAGTGTACATCCATTGGTCAGCTTAAAATATTTATTGTTTATTTTGTAGGGCATTTCTGGACAAATCTGTCCCTAAGTCTACGACCATTGATCTCCTGAGGAAGGCCTGCGACCGCCACCAGGATGCGTACAGAGACGCCATGTGTGGACGGGCCATCGATAGACACCTGTTTGGTCTCTACGTCGTCAGCAAGGGCATGGGCTACGTAAGTCATGAATGGGCTATGTAAGTCATAAATGGGCTATGTTAGTATTAAATTGGCTATGTAAGGACAGTGGACCTTCATATATCCGGATGCCAGATATCCGGGCACTTCAGTATCTGGACAATTTTTCATCGGAACAGAATTTTTTAATGTTATTTTGTCTTGTTTAACTGGTAATGCAGGTAACTGGACGCTTCACATATCTGGACAAATTGATTAGGAACCAAAGCATGTGGATAAATGAGGCTCCATTGTAATAAATTGGCTTGTTAGTAATAAATAAGTCATAAATGGGCTACTAAAGTCAGAAACTGGTTAAGTAAGTAATAAATGGGATAAATTAGTAAATATGGGCTACATAAGTCATCAATGGGTTATTTAAGTAATAAATGGGCTACAGAATTAATTATTGGGCTACCAAAGTAATTAATGGGCTATGTACGTAATATATGGCCTAAGTAGGTACTACTAAGCTAAATAAGTAATAAATTGGCTCGTAGGTCTTCCCCTAAAATTTCAATTCATTATTTCTGTTTAGTTTGTGTAAACTGAGTTTATATATTTATAAGACTATGAGCTAGACACCATTTGATATCTGATATGTGACCTTTTTTTTGGACAGGACTGTGAGTTTTTGAAGGAAGCTCTGACAATTCCCTGGACATTGTCAACTAGCCAGCAACCACAGCAACAGATAGCAACCTCACCAAACTGTAGTCTCCCTCAGTACAGACACGCTGTAAGTATAGCAACAAATATACAATAGATAGCAACCTATGAAATACAGACATAAGAATAGCAACCTCACCAAACTGTAGTCTCCCTCAGTATAGACACGCTGTAAGTATAGCAACAAATATACAATAGATAGCAACCTACGGAATACAGACATAAGTATGGCAACCTCAGCAAAAAAAAGCAACCTCAGCAAAAAAAGCAACCTCCCCAAACATCAGTCTCCCACAATACAGACACGCTGTAAGTATAGCAACAAAAATACAACAGATAGCAAGCTACGAAATACAGACATAAGTATAGCAACCTCACCAAACTGCAGTGTCCCATAGTACAGACAGGCTGTAAGTATAGCAACTTATGTACAACAGATAGCAACATACAAATACAGACACGTCATAAGTATAGCAACCTCAGCAACAGATAGCAACCTCTCCAAACGGTTTCCTACTGTACAGACATGCGGTAAGTATAGCGATTTCAGTAACACGGCAATGTACACAATACAAACATGCTGTAAGTGTGGCATGTAGTGTAATAAATATACATCTATAACATTGTAGTTTGGGTCAAATTTTGATACTTATATCCTTCGCTCTTTTTTTGCAAATATCCAAATAATATACTTTTTAGATGGATTGATTGCCATTGACCTAATAGCTCAGTTGATAAAGCACCTTATTACTGACTCGGGGGGCCCAACTTTGAATTCTGTTGCATTTTATTTTTTTTTTATTTTTAGCTGTGTCCTGGGGGTGGTTTTGGCCCGGTGTCAGACGACGGTTACGGCGTCTCCTACATGATTCCCGGGGACCACAAAGTATTCTTCCACGTGTCCTCCAAAAAGTCGACCAAAAATACCGACTCCACGGTGTTCATGGATCAGCTGTTTGAGACATTTGTAGAGATGAAGGAACTGTTCAGCCAGGTTTGATGACGGAGTTCATAGGTCATCCTCAGCCAATCAGTGATTTACTCTCAGATTGTACTTAAGAATCGGATGTTTTAAAGAGAGTTTGTACCTTTATTTATGCTCAAAAAGTACTTCAAAGGATTTAATGAAGATAAATGTTTTTATTTTCAATGTTATGTATTTTTGAGATATTTTAAGATAGAATTCAATTTTTTTTAATTTGATTTTAAATAAAGAATTTTTTGGAAAAACTTCTTTATCGCAGGGGATTTTTAATTAGCGTTTTGAAATAATTGTTATATAAAATGATAAGACCAAGATTTATTCTTAAATATGCACATATAGTTCTCCACATTTTTCTTTCTTTCAATATGTTGTCATTCATTTGTAATATAAAGTTTGTATATGGTATGTCCTCTGATGGAAATTGAGTGGTGTCACTAATTTAATTTTTTTTTTTATACAATTCTGCTTCAAGACAAGAAAAAACAAATAATCGCATATATTTATAAGTATTGTAACATTCCTAACCCATTGGGAATACGAGTGTGTTAACTTCGTTGGAAATTCATCATCAATGAATCAGGAAGAGATAATTAAATTCTAAAATGTTTTTTATTGTTTAGTAAATAGAGTTTTGTTTTTTTTTTTTTTAGAAAAAATGGGTTATTTTATATATCCTGCCTTCTACAGCCTCAGCTAATTAATTCTACAATTTTTAATTCTTTTCCAGTGATAAGCCTTGAGTGCCAATCATGATTATGATTTTTAATTTATCAGAGAAGTTAATTTCAATTTGTATGATTACAAAAGTCAGTTTTTGACATTTACAATAGATTTCAATATTTTACTGTAGTAGTGCATATTCTACAAATATTTTATGTCAGTTGTATCTAATCACCTACATATAAATTTTTTTTTGTTTGTATTTTAGATTTTTAATTTTGGACCATATTTGTAACAGTCAATCAGTTTGTACCTATGTATCTGTATTTTTGTTTTATGTCAATGATGATCCTTTTTGTTTTGTGTATACATCCTATACATTGTACAATTCCCAGTATTGTCAGCTATAGACTGTGTTATACCTCCGTCATTATTGTTTTACAGTCAAACCATAATACCTTAAACTTGACATAACACTGTTACAAAAGGAGCCAATGTTGATCAGAACACACCATGTATTGTCAAGTTATAAAGCTAAAGTCTGTGTTATACTTTCTCCTCATAACTTAAGTCATTAAGTTTTTACAGTCAAACATTGATTTACTATCAGATAAGTTACTTGTTTTAGAGGGTTTGTCCTAGTGTTTGAGATACTGTAAATGTATTATATTTAGCGTGTACAATATTTGGCGGATATTGACTTTTGAATAAGTTAGGAAAGATTTGATTTAGCGCTTTTCTTCTTATTCTAATATATGTGTATACGTGCAAGACATTTATCTATGTACTTGATTTAGCGGTTGCTGCAATCTGCCAAAGCCGCTAAAAAGAATACACAGCCAAATGTACCGGTAATACGTTTACAGTAGTTAGATTACACTGTATCCCCATTCTACAATGTACAGCATTGTCGGGTTTGACCTATTAGTGTTTGAGATAGATAGATTACACTGTATTACTATTCTACAATGTACAGTATTGTCAGCTTATACAGAAGACTGTTATACAGTATATCCTTTATATATCGTGATTTTATTTATTTACTTTGTACATCTCCAGCTTTGTGATATGTTTTCCCAGTGACTCTATCTAATAATTGTGTGGCTTTACAGTTGTATATAATATTAAGTGTTGAATGCCTAACATTATTGTATGGGTGTGAAATAATGCCATACTTGACTACAACTTAACTGAATCTGGATTCTGAAATTGTTCTAGTTAATTGTTCTGAAATTCTCACTCTCGGAATATGTGGAGATTTTGTAATGTAAGGTTGTCAGATATTTTCCTCTTTTTGAAGGGGGTTTCCAGAATTTAGATAAACTAATTCTGTATAACCCCCCCCCCCCCCTCACTCCAAAAAATCCTTTGATCATAACCATCTGTCAATCTAATTAAAATTAGACTTCTATTTTTGCTCCTCTTCTATATGCTTTAATACAAGCAACATAACAAAATATAGGAGTGCAAAGGATCTAATTTTAATTAGATTGTACAGTCTGTATATTTGGATTTGGTTTTGTTGTAGTCAAACTTGGAATGACATATTAAATCTTTTAAAAGCTATAACAGTTAACTATGTAACACATTCAAGTGAACAAGGGTGTCCTCCCTTTTATGAATGTATTTTTTTCTACATTGTTAATACAACATGTAAGTATTATTCAGATATTTTACTTTTTGCAACAGATAGCAGGTCTCAAAATTTATTAATAACAACTTTACACAAAGGAACTGACCACCAATCTGTCTCTCAGGTCTTGTTTTACACAAACCCCCCCCCAAAAAAAAAAAAAAAATTAAAGAGAAAGACATAACTTAGAAATGTATTTATAACATGAGGAAACTCAGGAGAATGAAGATGACATCATATTTTTATTTTGAGATGTATCTTAGGAGGGGCAATTTGTTTATTTACATGTAAAATTTACTCCATCATACCGACATATTACTATTATTTCATTTTAAAGAAGAAACGAGAAAGGAAATCATTTCAACGATCCCACATGGAATTCAAGTTGTAGTAAGTCATGTATCAGCCAAATGTAATGTAAAAATTGCATCCAATGTAAAAAAAAAAAAATGGGAAAAAACAAAAACACTGGCAAATTTATCCTATAATAAAATAATATCCTTAAGTTTTACCTATAGATTTACTTGAGCAGATCGTAGATGAATTATTTTGAAACAGAATACATGCAGCAAAAGAATTTAGACTAGACTAAAGCTAGCCAGGAATTAATGGGAAATGGGATTATGATTTAAACTGGGAAAGTAATTTATAAATCTTTAATATGATTAAAAGTGAAAGTAACTTATAAATCTTTACTGACTTGTTTTCCATCAGTGTATATATCTTATATTTGATGTTTTTCAAGCCATAGGGCTGTGAATTTGAAGCACATCATACAATGGGAGATTAATACATGTAGTTACTTAGGACAATTTAATGTTTATGGTATGTTTTGGTGCACAGTCAGTCACAAAGGTTGGATTATAATTAACACTCAAGCTCACTAGATTGTGTGTTCTTATATACAAATGAAGGGTAGGGATATCATTACTAGCAGATATTTCCATCCACGGGTGGTATATATATATGACCTTGTAATACTAGCCCCAGGGAGTGTTACGGGAGGTTAGTAATGCCATATACCCTTACAAGTGCTGTGACCAGGGACCTTGACATAGCCCCCAGGGGATTATGGGTAATTGTCCCATGGGTTTTATCTTGAAGGTTGGTTGGGTTGTAAAAGGAGGGGAATCCCCAAGAAAATCAAAATAATAAATACTCACAGAAACACATTTACTATTATTACTAATGAGCAGTTCTGAATTTCTTTATTAAGACTAGTTGTGTATACATTTAATATCATTGATCAATGTGACCAAGTTTTTACCCATAGATTTCAATTTTCATAAAAGATTTTAACAGATTGGCTATTGGAAAAGTTGATCATTTGTCAAATTAGAATATTGTTTTATAACTAAACTCAACTGCTTTCAATGTATGCATATACAAATGTACTTTTATTGAAGAACAAGAACAATTTTAAAAACTTTTTTTGAAATTCAAGTGTACAGATTGAAACAGAATGACGTTCATTTTTAAACAAAAATTATTTTAAGTTCCATTTCTACATGCACTTCAGTTTTCACCAGAGACTTATGTCTCTGTTTCACCTATTGTTTGGCAAGTGTATGTTGTCAGCATTGTAAAAACTTCAAAATAAAAACTTGTTGAAAATGGAATATCTGTGTCTGACTTTTTAAGCAATGACAATTGTATATATTAATGTTCTTTGAATGATTTGGATCCAGAAAAATTGCATATTGTTCTGGAGTTATTACAACACACTGTACACTATTATAACTGACCAATATTTGAATGAAATCCACTTCTATGTAGACTGGACTTAATATTCAGATCATAGGTTTCAAATTAAGGAGTTTCTCCATAGCATAATTGGCATCAAGGAATATATTCATCTCACAAAGATTAGCATGCACTGTCAATTCTCAAATCTTTGTGGGTCAAATTTTCAAGGTTTGAGAAAAAAGTACGTAAAATCGCTAATTTTTTGGTTTTCGAAGTATAATGATACCCATGAATTTATGTCCATCACAAAATTTAATTTTTCACATACAGCTGTACATGTATATTACAATTGAACTAGTCTTTGACCATGAAATTAAATCCCCTTGAACCAATGTATTTTCCTCAAACCACGAAAATTTGACCCATCGAAAATTTGTGATTTTACAGTATCGGTTTGTGGAGATTTTATTTCAAAATTGAAAACAGTAATATTAAGCCATATAAAATTGATATCTTGGTTCTCAGGCCCGCACGCATTCCTTTTGAGGTAGCCGCATTGCCGATTTTATTGTACCAGTACTTTTGATAAAATAAAAAGTTGGTGTTGCGGAGACCAATCCGGGGAAAAAAATCCTGACCTCATTTGTTTCGTAGTTTAGTATTCAAATATCACTTCCGGTAGTCATTCACAATGAGATTTTGGCTACTTTGTTTGAAAATACATTTGAGAACAATTCCTACGATGTTTACACGCTGTTTAGCAATGGATAAAGCAGAAAATTTGACAAGAAATAGAAAGTATACCTGTGATTAAAAAAATTACTGACTTCACGTAGAAAGAGTAGTTACCGTTCGTTAGTTATCCATGTCCAATCAAGGATGTACTGGATTCAAACCTGGGTTTTATTCCATACACTCAAAGTTTTGAAATCCTCAATTATACTAAAAATAACACAACAAAAATTAAACTCTGTGATTTATTGTCAAATCAAAAATAATAGACTGACAATGTAGAGGAAGAATTTAAAATATTGACACATTAAAAGTATAAAATGTATGTCATTTCCAATGAAAACATGATGTAATAAGAAACAATGGTAAATGTACAAATGAAAAAGTAATGTCAGCTGATGTCAGAAAATCTTCTATACAACTCAGTTCCACTCTACAATCAATTTTCACTCATCATTAAAAGCAACACTTTCCACTATTTGTAATAATTCTGATTCAATTGGTACAATGAGATCAATTCTGTTCTTATTCATTTTGAACACACAGTTGAGAGAAAATTTCAGTTCAGTGGACGAACATATAAATCTCACCACTAAAAATTTTAGTTTTCCAGGAGTAACCAATACTTGATTTTTTTTTCTTTTCAGAAAGGGACAATTATTAATTGTTTTTCTTTTTCAAATTTCAAATTATTGGATCTACATGTTTCTTTGTAACTTTTTACAAATGTGGTCAATTTTACTTCATATTCATGCATGGCTAATTCACATCATAAACAAGTTTCAGTGTTTCACAAAACTTAGTTTACTATTATAGTAAAACATTTCCTATCCTTAGCTGATCACACACAGCAACACTATTCAGCACAAACACGTAATTCTTCTGACAAACGTCCTTGAGTTAACAAACATAACCTTGACCCCTGACCCCTACGTTTCCTCGGTGACCTCTGTGATGATGCTCTCGTCCAGTTTCTTTTTGTAGGCGGCAGCCTCCTCCTCTTTCTGCTGTAGCTGTAGTTTGTACGTCTCCGCCTGGCGCTGCATCTCCTCCAACTGACGACGAAGGGTCTCCTTGTCAAGGTCATCTCCCTACAAAGGTCAAGACAGAGTAACAGATGTGAACAGTGATATCATCAATGTCAATACAGAAACTTAGTAGCAGACATGTACTGTGATATCATCAATGTCAAGGTCATTACAGAAACTTAATAACAGACATGTACTGTGATATCATCAATGTCAAGGTCATTACAGAAACTTAGTAACAGACATGTACTGTGATATCATCAAGGCCATCTCCCTACAAACTTTAAGGTCAAGACAAAAGCTTAGTAACAGATGTTTACTGTGATATCATCAACATCATCAATGTTAAGGCCGTCCCCCTACAAAGGTCATCACAGAAACTTAGTAACACCTGTGTCAGTGATATCAATGTCAAGGTCATCTGCCTACAAAGTCAATACAGAAACCTAGTATTATAAAAAGACATGTACAGTGATATCGTCAATGTCATCCCACCTACAAGGTCAAAAAAGAAACTAAGTAATAGATATATAATGTGATATGACCAAACATCAACTCTCTACAAGATCAGTACCAACAGAAACTGAAAAACGGTACATACAAGTTGCTGTCCTTTAAAAAAGGACTGCAATACGTGGACAATATGCGTGTTTTTTTCTGACTGAAATTCAGGTGTAAGAGAATATTCATGCAAGGTTTGTTCACTTATTCTAAAATTATCTGCCATTTATAACTGATCGTAGTCTCAAAGCACAAATGTGAAATTTTATCACCGATTAGTGATCTTTAGTTTTGTCAGTTTTAACATGTTTAAAAAATCAGGTTATTTTGACACGTGTAACACATATTCGCTGGGACTTGATACCTGTTCTGGATTTATACGGAAGAAATTTATCATGGGAAAAATGGAGATCCGCTGTTTCACATGTTGCACACCTCTGTAGAACGCAGATTAGTTTTTTCATTTTGTCGGAGCCCCCACCCCCCAACACACACACATTTAACAGGGGCGTAGCAACAGTAATTTTTTCTGCCAACCTTACTTAGAAAACTTGAGATTCAACTTATAGATTTATAGTGATTTACCAAAAATGTTAATTGAAAGTAAGACGCTGAGAAAAAGTTGCCCCCCCCCCCCCCCACAAAGATTTTCGACTTTTGGCAACTTATAGATTTGTCATAGTTTTATAGTGATTTACCAAAAATGTAGCATTACAATAGGTACTGAAAGTAACGATGACGATTGTAAAATTTTAGAAATCAAGTTAAATTTATTAAACTAGAAAACTGACCAGTCCCCCCCCCCCCCCCCCCAGAATGATTAAAAAATGTACGAAATAGGATTTCCGAACTTTTAAAAACCTGGCAAAAATCTGTAATTTACATTCCCCCCCCAACTTAACTTTTTTTGCTTGTCAACTTTTTCAAGGTAAGTAGTAAAAATTTTTCATGAAGGCTGACCTTAACTTCAAACAAACCCCCCTAATCTTTAAAAAAACGATGCTAAGATTGTAAAATTTTATAAATCATTATCATTATAAATTTATTATATTATTTTGCGAGTCTTGATGCACAAAACTAATGCCGGTGAAAACTTGCTCTACTTTAAAAGTTTTAAAAGCTACATGTATCTCTGTTCGTTGAGTGACTTTTCTCATTCAAGTTGTTAAGTTACATGTATCTATATACTGTAACTTCTTAAAATGTTTGTACCATAGAATCAATGTTTAGTAAAAAAAACGTATATGTAAAAGAGAGGAAATCGGATCTGCCAATGAATATGTAAATGCGATATGCAGAATTAAAAGCGCAATTTGCTAATGAATGGCATATTTTGATTCAAATAGGGCGAATTATTCTACGGGCAAGTTACCTAAGGTGCGAACTCTCTAGCATTTGCGCGCATGCATAGCCTGTCGTTTGCCCAGGGCATCCGGTTTAACTTCACTTATATATTTACTGCGTGGACCGCAGGGTCCACACAATGACATATTACAAAATAGGGTTACTGCATATATTTGCTAGGAAATTCTATTTACCTCCTCTGTATCCTTTTCCATAGTGTTTGTGTATATACTTTACAGAAAGATACAGAGGAGGTTAATAAAATAGCCAGTAAAGTGTTTTTCAATATACTTGGTCTGGCTATTCTATTTACCTCCTCTGTATCCTTCTCTAAAGGGTTTGTGTATAAACTTTACTGGGCTATTCTATTTACCTCCTCCGTGTCCTTCTCTATTGGGTTTGTGTATATACTTGTATCTGTTTCTTCTATTGATTCAGGCTTCAATTTCTTCATAGGAGGTTCTTCTGTGAATTCAAAAAATAAAAATTTCAAAAACTTTGTTGAGTGATATAGTTTCATTTTCACCACAAAAAAATAATCTTGCAATCTTTAAAAAAAAAAAAAAACTTTTTTCAATCTTTAATGCTTGACAGAGAATTTCTGTGATATTCACACTTTAAGAATATATGACTACAAGATGAGTTCCCTGTCACTAGACAAAACAAGATTTCAAACCCACACCAGTTTTTACCTAGCTGTTCATCAGTAGCATCCCCCGACCCCATCACCATGCCCTCTGAGGTCATGACCTCTCCAAGTCCCTCCTGATCTGGGTCAAGGTCAGGAGCAGCAACAATCGTGATCACCTTCTACAACAGAGAGAAATTATTTCTATAAATCTCATTTCATTCATGTTTTTCTTTGTTTCTATCATTTCTTTCAGCTAAATGACAAACTTGTAATTAAAGACAATTTTTTAATAATTTTCCTTTTCTATTTTGACACTTTTTTTTGTATTTTTTTTTATTTCAAGAAAAGACATGTAAAGTTACATAAGTTTTTTAGTCACATTCACACTTCCCCTCTGAATTTAAACAAGAATGAAATATAAAATGTATATAATTCGAGAAATATTCAAAGTTGGTGTTTAAATACATTGTAAGTGTTTATAACTCAAAAATATTTATCCATTGTGACCATAGACTATCAAAATTGTTCATTGTAAAATTTTGAATTGATATACATTTTTCTACTTTGTACTTAAGAGTTAAATGATGTAGCAGCCCAGTAATCATAGGCATTTTATTCTGCTTTAAACAAGAAAAGATATATTGCTTTGTATATAAAATAAAATTTATCACCCTATTCATCTTCGCTAGCCAAGGGTTTCTGATACGCTTCTCTCCTCATAAACCCTTGGCATACGGTGAAGTCAAAAGACGGGATTATTTTCCGTCACATGATCTCGAATCTATTGATACGCACAGATTGCGTCATCGCCAGAAATAAAGATACGTGTTAAAAAAAATTAAATCAAAGTTTTTTCAAGAATAATTAAGAAACAGTAATTGAGTTATGTTTATTCATTATCTATAGAACAAATCTGAAGCTTCAATATAGATTCTTAATCATATATTTAGAAGATATTGGATGACACCATGGCTAATCATAGAATTGAATGTTATCTTACGGATCGTTGTTTACTTGCGTTTTTCATTTCCGAGATTAAAGAGTGAAGATGTATCCCGAACGCAAATATCGTCATTTACAAAAAACAGCTGCTGATTGGTCGACCTGGGTGTACTGAAATCCAATCAGAACTCTTGATAAAAATCTCAATTTCTATGAACACCGTAGGCCAAGGGTTTATGAGGAGAGAAGCGTATCAGAAACCCTTGGCTAGCGAAGGTGCACCCTATTATGATAAGAAAATGGCGTTTTGACACATATTTTATGAAAAGGAGAATGATTTCTGCTTAGAAAAACTAAATTTCTAGAACAAGTTCCATATCATATCCAATTCTTCAGAAAATCAAATTAATAAAATTAATCTTGGTAAATTAGAAATGTTTTTGATGTGACCTTGACCTTTGATGTTACATTGACAGGTCTGTCACAGCACCTTTTGGTATCCTTCTCTATAAGGGACATTTTTGTCAAATTGGGAAAATTTTAAACATACCTTCATGTATTAAATTAACACCCCCCCCAAAAAAAAATTAATAATGAAAGCCATTTATCACTTTGAAAAGTATACTTGAAAAGCTAAAATTTACAGGACATAAGGTCTGATAAAAATCTATATTTAACAGACCAAACCTTTACTTGCTAAGCAGGCTTTTTTTCCATATGATACAGAGACTGAAAAATGTGGGGAGGGGGTATTTCTTACTGTTTAATTGCATTTGAAATAAATTTAAAAAATTAGATTATAAAGAATAATTTATTGAAATTATCAAGTTACTAATAAAAATTTTCCTTTAAAATGTAATATCATAAAATTGCCTAGACCTTAGGGCTGTCACGGTTCCAAAATTTTTCGGGTCGGGTCGGTTCTGATTTTTTGAGGTTCGGTTTCGGGTTTCTCGGGTCGGGTAGGTAATGGAAGAAAAGCTCATGATTTGTATTATTTTCAGCAATAAAAAGAATATTCTCATTTAATCTTAGAAATTGCAACATTATAACTAGTTTAAAGACTAGCCTCCTCTAGTCAACAACTGTACCAAATTATTTTTAAATCACCTTTCAGGGTTTCAGATTGAAATAAGTAAACTACAGGACATCTGGCATATTTACCAGAAAAGTTATAGGCCATTCTGTCCTAAACTTCCTAAAATTATAGGCCAATAGAAAAGTTAAACTAACTCAGATTTCTGTCAGACTTTTACAAAAACAGTCATTTTATTACATAAAATATTCAAACTTGTATATTAATTTTCCTTTTAATAAATTGGAAATATTATTTTGTTTCTTTTAAACAAAATTAATATATTGAAACAGAATAGTAATTGTTTTTTTTTTAAAATTCCATTCAATGGGTATTTAACTTATATTAGTCCCACCTTTCATTGCATGTAAATGTATCTATTTCTTGGGATTAAAATTTTTTTTTTAAATTCCATTCAATGGGTATTTAACTTATATTAGTCCCACCTTTCATTGCATGTAAATGTATCTATTTCTTGGGATTAAAATTTTTAAAAATAGTAATCCAAAAATTAGACTTGTACCTCTGATGATATTCAATGTATAATTACGTTTAAAGATCCAATTTTTTTCCCTTAGTAAAACCTTGCAACATTGTCCGTTTCCTGCTATTAGTCCGACCCCATATTCAATCATGGCGGTAAAAATAACAACATGGCATGGATTCCTTCGTACGATGTTTTAAACATTCATCACTACTTTTATGCTCCTTGCAGTTGGGTTTGGAAATAAAATTATAGAGTATTTTGTCAAGATCTATTTATACCAAAATGTCATTGGCTGATTGAATCGGCAGTTTGATATGTATCTGAAAAATTATACAACTGGCCTTTACATACAGAAGATAATTGGCCATTGTGTCTGTTCATGTCAAACTTATAGGCCAACAAACAAACTTCAATTGCAAATTGTTTTATGCTACCTTTTCAATGACAATTTACTAACAAAACTCTCGTTTTTGACGCCATTTTAAAGTAAAATAATTTATGTGCAAAATGGATAGAATTAATTCAATTTAATTGATTTGACTGTTACAAATGTCTTTTTTCTGCTTATTCTGGTCATTTAACACATGCAAATGAAACAGATTTTATTTTCACTTATAATTCACTTTAAAATTGTTAATTTATTTTATGAACTAACTCATAATGGTTATTCTTGCTTAAAATAAGTTCCCCAACCCAATCTACGTATGACCTATCCATAGATCTCTATCCCATGACAGAGGAAATTCGAATTAAAAATAAACGATCATGATAGAGATGTTGCAGATTAAAATCAATCATGCATTACTGCTAAATGGATCAAATAAAGGATGTATGTGTGGAAAATTAGTTGATATAAATGAGAAAATGCGTCTTTGGGAATTTTTAAGTCTGAAATTGGGAAAATCTACACTTTAACCATTGAACCTTTGTCCTAATTTTAAAGCAGTGATGGCCCTGCATTGAACATCCACATAATTTCATAAAGATTTCTTGTGACATTTAATTTTCTAATTCTTTTGAAAAAACGTGATGCATCACAAACTACATGTATATGAAAAACGAGCAAATAAAAGAGTGCCACCTAGGTGTCTGCCAAGCAGTCGACACAACAAAGGGAGTCAACTCTGGCTGAGTCTGGTACTGACCTGATTTTCCTCCCCTTCCACCAGTCCCTGTTCTACATCCCCCTCCATCACCTCCCCGGGGCCTAAGATAGCCGACTCCTGAGTCACCACTGTGTCATCTGTCACTATGGCGTCATCAGATAGCACTGCATCCTGGGTAATAAGAGTTCCAGCTGACAGGCCCTGTTGTTTGATTATGTTGGTCAATGCAATCTTTCCAGCTTCTGTAAATGGAAATGTGAATAGTAGTAAAATATTAAGAGCCATAACCCATGGCTGCTATCATTTTCTCTGCTGTGTAATATATTTACCTGTTAGAGGTGTGGACAATACTATTAACCTCTCAGAAATATAGTAAGAGCTACAGGAAGTGATATTAACCTGTCAGAGCTATGGACTGTGATATTAACCTGTCAGATCTATGGACTGTGTTATATTGACCTGTCAGAGCTAAGGACTGTAATTTAATCTGTCAGAGCTGTGGACAGTGATATTGACCTATCAGTGCTATGGACTGTGATATCTACCTGTCAGTGCTATGGACTGTAATATTAACCTATCAGAGCTATGGACTGTGATATTAACATGTCAGTGATAGGGACTGTGATATTGACCTGTCAGAGCTATGGATTGTGATATTGACCTGTCAGAGCTATGGACTGTGATATAACCTTTTAGAGCCATAGACTGTGATATTGACCTGTCAGTGCTATAGACTGTAATATTAACCTGTCAGTGCTATGGACTGTGATATTAACCTGTCAGAGCTATGGACTGTGATATCTACCTGTTAAAGCTACGGCCTGTGTTATATTTACCTGTCAGAGCTATGGACTGTGATATTAACCTGATAGATATGGACTGTGATATATTTACCTGCCAGTCAGTGCTTTGCAATCTTTGATATTTAACTGTTAAGGCTATAGAATGTGATATACTTACCTGTCAGAGCTGTAGACTGTGATATTTACATGTCAGAGCTGTAGACTGTTTTATTACCTAATCAAGTGATTTTTGTTGTTTTATTAGAGATTTAATATTTTCATCTACTCTGTATGTGTTTTCAGTTTTTCTTATCTTTTCATATTGATCTATTGACCAGTCAATAGAACGCGTGTTCTATTGACCTGTCAATAGACTGCAACGTATTTCGGGAAAAGCGATCCGGGTTTCGAATTTACTTGTTTGTAACATTGCACAGACTTGGTAAACAATCATCTTATTTAATCTTTCTACATTAGTTTTAAAAATTGTATGATTTCAATGGTTGGATAATTTATTTATTGAAAGTTTCCCTAATTAATACACTGTGGGACGTGGAGACCAGTCCTTCGGGTGAAACCTTTAAACCAAGGTCCCGTGTCGCAGTAGGTGCACTGCTAGCATGAAAAAGGTCCCTCTCTACCGGCAAGTGGTGGCATCTCCATAAGAGTGAAAACATTTTCGAGAGGAATGTAAACAATAGTCTATACAATCAATCTTTAGTTTAATATTAATATAACAGATGCACCATATCTAGCTTCTGAACTGAATATACAACTGTGAAAATGTACTTAATACGGAAAATAAAATTAGGTAATAAAACAATTATTCAATGCCTGAGCAGTCAATAGACCAAGATTTTTATAAATAAATGTGTTCTATTGCCCTCGGCCGCTGGCCTCGGGCAATAGAACACACTGAGCTGTTCCTTGTACCTCGGGAAAAATATTATACAATTATGGACTCTTTTGGTGTTGAATATGGTTTTTTATTCACCAGAAAAATACCCATATTGCCCTCGGCGCCGCCTCGGCCATTTTGAATATTTTTCTGGTGAATAACAAACCATATTCAACACCAAAAGAGTCCATAATTGTTTTATTATATAGTGTGGATTTCAATAGATAAGACATTGAAGGCTGTATGACGACACTATTTTCATTTGCTATCTTCCACTGTTGAAAGTAAAAAAAAATCTCCAGATTACTGTTTGTAACCTCTGTGTTTTCCTTTCCGAGTTTCGCTATGTGTAAGACGTCCAGATGTTAAAAAATAATCCTGAAATAGGTTTGAATAATTGTTTTCCTGCTCAGATACGTAGCTCGCTGCGGCCGTTGCAACCATTGTTTACAACGTTGTTCGATGTTCTGATTATGACGTCACAATGCCGTTGCACGCGCATTGACCCTCCGGTGAATACGGCCTAAAATCCGGTGAATATGTAGTGTTATGAACTGTTTGCGTTTGTATAGATTATATAGGGACTATAAATAGACTATATAATAATCTGGTCTATTGACTGCTCAGGCATTGAATAATTGTATAATATTTACCTGTCAGAGCTATAGACTGTTATATTGACTCTGTGATATTTACTTGTCAGAGCTATAGTCTGTGATATATTAACCTGTCAGAGCTATAGTCTTTGATATATTGACCTGTCTGTGATGTATTTACCTGTAAGAGCTATAGACTATGATATTGACTGTGATATTTACCTGTCAGAGCTATAGACTGTGTTGTATTGACCTGTCAGAGGTATAGACTGTGACATTGACTGTGATATATTTACCTGTCAGAGCTACAGACTATGTTGTATTCACCTGTCAGAGCTATAGACTGTGTTGTATTTACCTGTCAGAGCTATAGACTGTGTTGTATTTACCTGTCAGTGCTATAGACTGCCCGCTCTCCATGGCTGAGGAGATAATTCCGCCCTCTGTCGTGGTTATCATTGTGATTCCTTGACTCTGTGATATATTTATCTGTCAGAGCTATAGACTCTGTGATATTTACCTGTCAGTGGTATAGACTGTGATATTGACCTGTAACAGCTATAGTCTGTGATATATTTACCTGTCAGTGCTATAGACTGCCCGCTCTCCATCGCTGAGGAGATAATTCCTCCCTCTGTCGTGGTTATCATTGTGATTCCCTGACTCTCTAACCAGGACATGGCGTCTGTGTTGGCAGTCGTCACTAAAAAGTCACATAAATAATTACTTTAAATGAAACTTTACAGAATGGCAATTCTCCTTAGAAATATACTCAGCATTTCTATATAATTTAATGAATCAGTACTGTAGAGCAAACATATGCAACAGTCTATTTTTCCCATCTTAATCATGCATTAAACCTAACAGTATCATTATGTTCAATATTGTACAGGTATCTATATTCCAGTTGTATTCATCAATCAAGACAAAAATGACATGGCAATATATTAGCATTATATTTTTCTGTTTTATATATAACTTTATGGTCTCATAGCAGTTGCATTTTGTGCTAATTCATTCAATACTCCAAGAACTTTGTACCTCCTTCAATCTACAACTGAATATCAATACTCTTACATGGAGACCGGTCCTTTGGATGAGACCCTATAAACCGGAGACCAATGTCGCAGTAAGTGCTGGCACGAAAATGATCCCTCACTGTTCAATAACCAAAAGTGCCAGTATAGGGCAATATTTGATGCTCTCCACTGGCATGTGGACATTTAAAAACATACAAATAAACCCCTTACCCTGAGCACTACTACTGGGGGCCGTGGCTTCAGCTAGAGCTGCTAGTGTGGCCACACAAACAGATAAACTCTTACCCTGAGCACTACTGCTGGGGGCGGTGGCTTCAGCTAGAGCTGCTAGGGTGGCCAGTACTGAGGAGTTTGTCTGGTCCTGTCCATCTAAAAATATACACAACAATTAACAAACACATAAAGTCTATTTAAAATGTCTTGGAGATCTAAGAGTAAGCATTGTCTGTAACAGACAATCAATTACATCATAAGAACAGTTTTTCTGGTCCTATCCATCTAGAGATAAAGGCCACCAATGAAACACTATAAATTTTTCTGATCCTGTTTTCAAAAGCAATGATTTGTGAACTTCAAGTCACCATGTTTATGTATTATTGAGACCTCCCCCTTCACTCTTACCTTGCTTGACTCCATCTAAGTCTGAGGACACAGTAACCGTTTCTTCTACATTTTCTGGATCCACCTCTGTGGTTTCTATGGTAACCGTTTCATCATCACCCATGCTCCCAATATGAGTATGCTGTAATTAAATGAAAGGTCAAATTTATCACACTCTGTGTAAATATACAGTCAAGTACCTACCAAAAATAACAAATACATGTTCTACATTTGATTTTACTCAGTTTATTGGTATTATTAATTAAAACATTACAATGCAGATGAGGGAATACCTGGGCAAGCTGAAGAATCTGTACCAGATCTGCTCTCCCATTGGCTATAGCGATGTCTAGAGGGGTCCTATCAAACTACAAAATATCACAACAAAGTACAGGGATTCTATCAAAACAAAAAAATGTAATATAAACAGATTCTATCATTGGCTATAGCAATGTCTAGAGGGGTCCTATCAAACTACAAAATATCACAACAAAGTACAGGGATTCTGTCAAAACATAGTCAATCTACACAAGTTCTTTGACTATCACATCAAACATGGAGTCTCATAATCTTATTAAAATCGTTGAGAACAAGAGTGCTGCGTCTGCTTTTGAACATTTCTCATGCCAGATGTCTGCTTATCTACACTATCAACCACATATGATATATCACATCATATCAACTCCCTAGAGACTCCATTAAATTAACACAACCTTGTCTCAGCTTCATGTTTCATCAGGGCCTCCATTACAGTAACACTGGCCTTGATTTTACCGTATCAACTATCAACCCCATGCCTTTAAATATTGGAGCCTCCTTTAAATTATTAAGACTTACCTTGTTTTCACATGTCGTATCAGCTCCATGCTTTATCAGGGCCTCCATTACATAAACACTTACCTTGTTTTCACATGTCGTATCAGCTCCATGCTTTATCAGGGCCTCCATCACATTAACACTTACCTTGTTTTCACATGTCGTGTCAGCTCCATGCTTTATCAGGGCCTCCATCACATTAACACTTACCTTGTTTTCACATGTCGTATCAGCTCCATGCTTTATCAGGGCCTCCATCACATTAACACTTACCTTGTTTTCACATATCGTATCAGCTCCATGCTTTATCAGGGCCTCCATCACATTAACATTTACCTTG